TTAATACTACTCAATCATAATTATGCCAGAAACCAATGCTTTGGCCAAGCAACCAATTTGATGCTCCCAACAACTACTGCGTATGAAAAATGTCTGTGCTTTAACAGAGCTCAAACCCTTCCTCAATGACACTCCTCATCATTTATGACTTTGAAGAAATGAAGCACACTTACAGAGCAGCTATTTATAACAGATCTTAAATCCAAAGACTATTATAGTGAAGGTACCCACATGTTGTTTGTTATCATCAAAAGTTTAGAACATTCAGCACAAGCTACTTCTGCGTATTCTTAAGTCACAACATTACATGACTGCTACAAGAACGTGGTCTGAATGGGTTCTCACAGGCTTACAGAAACATTTTAAACCAACATCATCAAATATTTGGGAAGTTTTCTTGCAACTGGGTTTGTTAGAGAATACAGCTGCATACCTCTTTGATCACCTTTGCTCCCTTTTTATCATTAAATTCCAACTGAGCAAGAGCTTGATCAATGGACATTCCTTTAACCTGCAATTTAAGTGTTAAAGTTAACTTGTGTAATTACAAATATTTCTTTTATTCAGAAGACAGTCTTTAAATTATTTTGCTGTTACAAAGAACAAATCAGAAGACCAAGCTTCTTTAACACACATTTCTTCAGTGCAATATCAGACATACAATTCTACTCAGCTAAATGCTGAATGATAAATTACTCAACTTTTTTTTTAACTGTCTTCTCTCAGAGCGAAAAACCAGCAATTACTCTGCTCCAAAGATCCCTGGGTACACATTTGAGAGCATACTAAGATTAAGATAAAGTGGCTAAATCAAACTACAAACAACTGCCTGCTGCACAACTGCATCCTCAGTACTCTATCATAAAGATACTGATTACACTCTGATTGAACTAGACTGTTAAAGCAAATGCAACAATTAAATTTTGTTCTAAAATTCAGAACAAATAAGCACTTTTGCTTACCAGTTTTGCCAGATACCACATCTTATCTTTGCTGTATTTTATTTCCCTCCGACAATGATATATTTCCTGGGTGCATAAGAGAAAGAACAAGTAATTTCACTTGAGAACAAAATGAAGCATACACACCTGCCCTGCAGTGCACATTCTTTTGAGGAATAGAAGAACAGCTCTTCCCTGCTACTCATACCTTGAACACACCAAGTCAGGCATGCTGCTGCCATTTTAAACTGTAAACTTTAATACTGTATAATAACAGTAAAACTCAATACAACCCTATAAGAATTAAATTAGTTTATAAACAGAGATCCTGAAAACCATATTCTTTTTTTATTTTTCCCCACATCTTTTCTTTCCTCCCCACCTTTTGAAGCAGGCTAACGACTCACGCGCCCAATCTTAAAAGTATTACTGTGCTGTCACACCATCTTGCTGGGACAGTAACTCAACACCAATGAATTTAATCAGCTCTTCAGAAGTGAGGAGGGTTTTGAGTTTGACTGACATGACGAGGTGTCTCCAAAGGGCCATTTAACATTATTACTGCACCAAGAGAGCAAAAGCAGCCAGTAAAATTTAACACTGATACATATTTGAAGGACATAGAATCTTTTACAGACAGCAAAATAACTGATTTAAGTGAGCTGGTTGGTAACTCTATTTTCATGTATATATTGCACTAGTCAGCACTGTATTTCTAATTCTAGGCCACAATATTGATAGAAGTGATAAATGCTAATGGCTCACAAAAGCACGTCAGGAAAAAATGATTCTTGTGAGATGCAAATAATTTATTTTGCTGAGCAGCACCTCTAACAGAGGACACAAGACATCACTTCCCAAGTACAATTAAAAAAAAAATGAAGACACAAGACATCAGTTTTCAAGAATGAGGAAATACTGAAAAATTCACCTAAAATTCTCTCAGGTTAAGGTGTAGAGAAACCAGCATTGATTACTCCCTTCAGTGACCAAAGACAACCAATTAAGTTTCCACGAACGACTCAAATTAAAAGACTTGCTTCTATTCACACTTATCTGCAATTCCCAGCTATGAAATGATCAAGAAGTGGGGACAGAGAGAAGCATGCATGATCTTGCTATTAGTTTTTGATGACAGCATTTGTTATGACCACGTTTTAAAAACAATCATGTTACTTAAACTGACCTCTGCCAAAGTTGTCTTGAATGGCTACCAGGCCTTCATTGGTTTTAGCCTCTTTGCTTCTATTTGTGGTTTAGTAAACACAAGTTATTGTGCAACAGACTGAAGAACAATTCCACTGCACAGTGTTTACAAAATGATTTCTTAAGGAGATGAGACTTCTGCCATCACATTCTTTACCTGACTCCCATGTCTGTCCCCACACAACTCTACAATCCCTCACACATGTCAAACAAATGAAGCAACCATTATGAGATAAGACAACCTATGAACAGCCCCGTTAAGAGGGGGGCCACAGCAAGAGGCAACAGAATATCACATCTAAAAGAATCCTATAAAGCAGAAAACTCAAATTAAAAAAGCATGCACTCTATTTAAACAGGTACCATTAGTTCCACTGCTAAGGGAAAGTCACATTTATAGTTATAGCAGCTGTCTTCTTCCCTAGATACCTACTGCTGGATGAACAGCACGAGTGTAGAACAACATTATTGGTGACTTTCATCTCTTCATTGTTCAGAGAATTCTACAAGCAGAGGATGGCATCTCTGCAGTTTGCAATACACTGAGTAGATGATCAGCTGCACAGCAGCTTCAAGTTCCAATTAAGTTAGAAATGGAAAAGAATCAAAGCAATGTGAACTCCTACAATTTCAATATGCGAAACAGAATAAAACCTTAAACAATCAACAAAAAGCAACCAGACTCGTGCCTTGTGGAGTCCTCCAGAGACAATCTGCTTCGAAACTGCTAAACACAAACGTGTAAAGAAAGGTGCAGGTGTGTGCTTACAGCTGGTCTGCGAGGTTCCCCGGGCAGCTGAGGAGGGTAAACAATCCTGTTCTTTTTCTCCCACTTCCCAAGTTTCTGCAGGGATGCACTTGTGTGGATGCATGACAGCGGGAAAGCGCTACCAGCTGCAAACCACCTGCAAGACAACACCACAGTCACTGCTGTTGAACATAAAAGTTCTTTGCCACTGTCCAGACTATCTGAAACAGCTGTGAACTTGCTTGCCTTCATAAAGAGAACTGACATATTTGACTACTTTCAAAGTCACGCTGTTAAAGTCCTTTACAGTTTACATTGAAGGGCTTTTTAATTTAATAAAAAGCTTAAGGCTTCCTAAGGCATGCCAAGTAGCTTAAGTTACATTCGTATAGCATCAGATTCCACACGTCCCCTGATCATCACACAGACACCATTACCTCTCTTTGCTTGGATTTGGTTCATTACTTGCATAAGGAATTCATGTCTTGTAATTTTCCCAAGACTAACTAATACTCATCTAACTTTTAACAGCAAATCTTCTAACAGCAATAATTTGTAGCTTTCTAAGAAACTGAGAGTGAAGAAAAAAAAAAGCATCAAAAGCATGTAAGCATTTATCATGTCTGAAATTTGAAAGGGAAAATAACCTCCACTTCTAAAGTGCAAGGAAACCAATGCAAGATAGATGACAGCAAATATAAAACTTTCCACAGCTTCCAGCCAGTTTGCTCACTCAGTCACAAAGACTGAGCTGCATGTTGCCCCCTGCTGACCAGGCAGAGCACTACGAGGCAGTGCTCACAACGGCAAGAAATCGACGAGTTCAAAATGAAACACTTGGAGCTTTAACGAGGCTCTAACCGCTCTGTGTGGGTTGCCAAGTTATGCAAAACATTTTAAAATGTCTGGCAAACAAAACGCACTGAACAGCTTCAGGAAAGCATTGCACACCTTAGAAAGTGTTCACAATATCAGTACGGGGCAGGATGATAAATAAATGTTTTAGGCACATTTTTTCCCTAGTTATTTACCAAAACAACAGTTTACCATCACGACATAACATCAACCAATACAGACAATATTACTTTTCACAAGTATCACTTTGCAGTTTCACAGCCTAACAGCGAACTAAGCATTACTCTCCAGACATCAGCACAACACATGAGCCCTGACAGACTGAGGAACCTTACATTCTGTATCTTAAGGCAATCCAGAGAACAACTCTATTTACCATAGTTCTAAGAGAGGAAAAAGGACACAAACACATTGCAAGGAAAAGAAAGTGACAAGAAAGAGAAGTTTTTATACTTTACAACCAAGAGGCTTGTTTAAATAAGTTACATACTGTGCAACTTAACAGGAAGAAGCATTCACAAGCAAAAGGTGGGAGACACACAGAATTGAAAAACTGATCAGGGAAAGCAATTCAGCTGAGCTGAAGGACAGTAACACAAGAACATTTCATTTTCTTCAGTGACCACCTTTGTGATTGACCTCCACAGGCTCTGGCAGAGACCAAAGCTCTGCAGTTTGAGCACCACACCCTCAGGTTTTCTTCTGGAACTGGGGATGCAGTGGGCAGCGATCAGCACTCCCCAGCATGCCTATGCTGCTCCTCCAGAACAAAGGAGAGGCCAGGCAGGAGGGCAGTGACTGGGGAGAGCACAGACAGGTGCAGGAGATGCGCTCTGAACCACGCAACCAGAGAAAAAGCTGCGTGACGGATACACGGGGCCAAACAAGAGCCTCTCACCGTGCTACAGAGCGCGCAGGAAGATGGGCACAGGGACGAGGAGCGGCCCAATGCACACAGCCCAACCCGGCCTGCTGCAGGACGGCGGAGCCCCGCACTCACCTCTCCGGCCGCACCCAGCCGAGGAGCCCCCGCACCCAGGCGCTACCTGCAACGAAGACACGAGGTGAGCCCAGAAAGGAGCGAGCGATACCCGCGGAGCACCGCGCCCGTCCCCTCACGCTCACCCGAACCTCCCGCGCAGCGCGCCGCCATCTTCCCCGCTTCGCTTTACGGCGGCCGCTCCCTGCGCATGCGTAGCGCGGCGGGCGGGAGGGCGGTTTTGCGACAGTTTGCGACGCTTTGCTCGGCGGGAGCTCCCGAGGTGAGCGTGTGGCGGCGGCGCGGCGCGGGACCATGGCGGCGGCCGTGCGGGTGCTGCCCGCCTCGCCCAACTGGTACTGCAGCCGCTGCAGCGACACCAGCGGAGATGGGCGGCTCTTCGGCTTCGCCGCCAGGCACCGCATTAGCGTGCTGGATGTCAGCACCGCTACGCCGACGTTTCACGGTACGGCCGCGATCCCTTCTCCCTGTGCGCGCCGTATTTATAGGAGCGGCCGAGATCCGGTCGGGTGCGGGGAAACCGCGTTCTCACAGCGCTTCTCTCGGTACAGGGGAGCTGATCGGGCACACGGAGCGCGTCGCCGCCTTCGCCTTCTGCCCGCACCGCGAGCACGGCTCTCTGTGCGCCAGCGGCTCGGACGACGGCAGCGTGCGGCTGTGGGACGCGGCGGGGCTGGCGCTGCGGGCAGAGTACGGCCTGCACCAGGTGGGAGCCGGGCCGCGGGGTTTGGTTCGGGGCGATGTGCCGCGGGCGGATCTTGAGCTGCCGGGCGGCTCGTTCCCTTAGTTTTAGGTGTACGCTGCCGGTACAGCATTGTAACGGGCTGTTGGTCACTGTCGGCAGCTCCTTGCTGCCGCACCCAGCTCGCTTTGCCGTCTCAGGGCTTGTGGGCAGTTACTGCTGCTCGGGAGACTGGCAGGTAAGTGGCAGCCCAAACAGTTTAGGACAGGGAGTGCTTGCAGGTTAGTTTCTGCTTGCTATCCTGGGCTGTACAGTTACAGAATGGTTGAGTTGGAAGAGAACTCAAAGCCCAAACCGCTGCCCTGGGCAGGAACACCTTTGTCCAGATCAGCCATCATCCAGGGTCTTGAGCACCTTCAGCAATGGGGAACCCCCAGCTCCTATGCAGCAGCAGCACCTCATCTCCCTCTGAGGATGATCACTAGGCAGCCAATGAAGGCAGGCTCTTAGAGCAATGTTCTGTTTTCTTTCCCAGAAGAGCCTCCTGCTAAATGCACTTCACTTTATATTCATAGGATCACAAGGTTGGAAAGGACCTACAAGATCACTCTCTGAGAGAAAAAGTTTTCCTTATGTCTAATCTAAACCTCCTATGGTACAACTTGTGGCCATTTCCTCAGGTCCTGTTTGTTGCCTGGGAGAAGAGGCGAAACCCCTCCTCGCCACAGCTTGCCTTCAGGAAGTTGTAGAGTGCAGTGAGGTCTCCCCTGAGCCTCCTCTTCTCCAGACTAAACAATCCCAGCTCCCTCAGCCATTCCTCATAAGACTTGTGCTCCAGACCCCTCACCAGTTTTGTTGTGCTTTAGTTCTTTAAAAGAACCTACAAAATGAATTTAGTTGGCCAAGCATGCTCAATGGCTTTACATGTATTCAATTGTCTTTCTTCAGAATGCAATCACAGCGTTACACTGGTCACCCCTTGTGAAAGATCTGATTGTATCCGGCGATGAAAAAGGGGTGATTGTTTGTTACTGGCATAGCAGAAGTGACAGCCAGCAATTCTTCCCAGAGCCTCGGACTATTTTTTGCCTTGCTTGTTCTCCTCATCATGAAAACCTGGTGGCTATTGGGTAAGTGTTAGGTTTTGCTTTCCATTCTTCATCTGAAAGTGTCTTGTTTGGATTTTTTATTGCACAGTTGTGAGGTTACTTTTAAGAAGTTTCAGTGGCTATTTTTTCATAGTATTCCAAATTGTATACAGCAATTTAGAAATAATATTCTGGTAGTTGTGCAAGTTGTACAATTCTGTAACCATTTATAGAAATGAATTTGGTTTAAACTCTGAAGATACTTAAGACATTACTTATTTTTAAATTAGATTTCATTAATGTTCATCACATTACAGGTTACCTCATCTAAAAAGTTTCATAGATTTATTAGCTTTTTGTTTACAGTTGCCATTCCAGTCCTTTGGACGCCCAAGACTGTATTGAATGAAGCAGGAATGTGAAAGCCTTTCAGATGGGAGAGATGGAGAGAATGAAAGTTATCTGTGGAAAAAGGAAAAGTTTTTCTCTTATAAAAGCCACTGTTACTTTTTAAGACTCTGACAACTGTATTGTGAATAAATTGGTGTTATTCTTGGAGCCAAATATACTTCTGGTGTCACTTCTCAAACAGAAGGCAGCTGTGTTTATGCTAGTGCGACACTTGAGCTCCAGCTGACTGGTCTCGTTGCCACCTGTGATTGGGCTTCTCTTACTGATCCTGGGTAATAGCCTGAAAATCAGATTAGATGTTCTTCCACAAGGATCTAACAATCTATCATTAACTGAAATCTCTGTTTTTAGCTACAAGGATGGCATGGTGGTTATAATTGATATCAGCAGGAAAAGAGAAGTTCTTCATCGGCTCAGAGGTCACGACGATGAAATTCATTGCCTGGCCTGGTGTCCTGTACCTGGTGAAGGAAGGTTGCCTGCTTGGCAAGATGAGCTCCAAGGTATGTACAAGTGATACATAGTTTGTGAAGTGATTTTTTTAGCTCAGGAAAATTCCCTTTGGAGAACTGAATTCCTTATCCCTGTGAAGTCAGCAGGTAGCTAATCGGATGGAACTGATGAGTTCAGTTAAAATGTTCTGATCCAGAGCAATAGGTTTTCAGCTTATGTTCAGAGCTTTGAATTCTAATGGTGTTTCCTTCAATGGTGTTTCCTTCAGAAGAAGGTGACGTTCCAAATGGGGAGCTTAAACAAGATACAGCCATGAAGAAAAGTTGTTACTTGGCTTCAGGAAGCAAAGATCAGACGATACGAATATGGAGCTGTACTAGAGGCAGAAGTAAGTAAGATTCTTAATTTAAGTGACAACAGTATGGGTGAAGTGCTCCTATCTGACTGTAGGTTTCATTTGCTAACCCAATAGTTTAAAGAGTGGAGAGCCTGCTTAAAGCTTCAGATTCACGGGTCTTTTTTTCTGAGAATTCAGATGTACGAAGTCGAGATGATCCCTTTCTTTTCCAAAGGTGTAATGACTCTGAAGTTGCCACCCACAAAGAGGAGAGGTGGAGCTGTTGATCCTGCTGTTAAAGAGCGAATTTGGCTCACTGTTCACTGGCCTTGTGGTCGTCCCACAGAAATTGTATCCAGCTCTTTTGGGTAAGTAGGAGACAAAGCACGTTAAGTGCAGACAGCAATTGTAAATTAATTCATTGATATTTCAAGAACAGCTGGCAGGAAACACTGACCCCTATCTTCCTTCCTTCTTGGTATAGTGAGGTAGTGGATAGATGTGCATTAGCACTGATAGTCTGTATTATTTTTTGAAGTGAAGGATGAAATACACATACTTTGAATTTTGCAGAGGAGAACTGCTACACTGGGATTTGACCCAACCTGGAAAACGCAAGTGGACGCTTCTGGGATCTTCAGAAGGACAAAATCACTCCCGTATTGTTTTCAATCTGTGTTCCCTGAAGCATCAAGACAAAGAGCTGCTTCTTTCCATTTCAATGGACAGAGATGTAAGAACCATTTTAAAAATTAACATCAAAATAGCGGCGGCAGTTCAGCCTGACTGAGTGAAACTAACGCTTTGATGACCACTTATTTTCTCCTAAAGCAGGCTTATCCCTGGCTTTTATAACATCATGGCTCGACATTTCTTCTCAGCACAAGTTGTGCATTTCTTTGTTAGCTTGTAAGCTCAAGCTTTTATCGTAGTGGACAGAATGGTTATGCCGTATGGGCTTGAAAATTAAATGTTCAACAGCTGGAACTCACGATTTCTGCCTTTTTTTTTTGGTGGGGGGGGGGGATGAGGGGGGGGCAAGGCGGCTAAGGAGGGAAGGGTTGTTGTTTGATTTGGGTTTTTTTTGTGCGTTTTGTTGGTTTTTTTTGCCTTTTACCAGCAGAGAGCCTATTTTGAATTCACAAGGACTACATAATTCTACATAATTAAACCGTAGTCCTTTTGTCTTTTCCACCACAGTCCTGCAGTTATTACAGCCCTGTCTTTGACGTGTGCTGCTTTGAGTGGAGATTGCGTACTTTGAGTCTTCCTCTCACTTGTGCTTTGTTTTTTCCCCTATCATACCACTGGCTTTAAATTTATCATTCGTTGTTCCTTAAATATTTTTTAGGTAAAGTGCTGGGACCTATCAACTCTGGATTGCAGCTGGTCAATGCCTTCCCTTGGGGGATTCGTCTATAGTCTCGCTTTCTCCCCTGTGGACCCAGGCTGCCTCGCTGTTGGTGTTGGAGACAGCATGATCCGTGTATGGAACACTTTGTCTATGAGCAACATCTATGATGTTAAAACCTACTGGCAAAGCATCAAATCCAAGGTTACAGCAGTAAGTGTGCTTTTGATTCCCTTTTTTTTCTCGTCTCTTTTCTTCCTCCATTTTTCGCTTGGAGGAATGTTTTTCTCTCGCTCTGAAGAAGGTTTTTCCCCAACTAAATACCATCATGCCAAGTTGTCACTTCTACTCTCAATTTGCATGATAAAATTTTAGAATTGCACAACGTTTCAGATGTTTTTAGATCACTGGGCATTTACATTGCACAGACTGAAAATGAGCTGAATTTCAGGTGGTTACTGTCTCACTTTGTTGGCTTTGTACGCCTCTGTGATTATTCCTTTTGTCATCCACGGTTTCCTTTGCTCTGCTAGGAAGTTTAATGTGCAAAAACTGGCACGGGTGTCTTCAGTTTAGGTTTTACCAGCAGTTGACTAAAGCTAACATCTAGTAGAAGGTGGCAGCATTAGAACACATTAGTTGGTCATGCCAAAAGCTTTCTCACAGTTCTGAAATATTCTCTGTTTCTATGTTGTAATGTAGATGTCAGGTAGTATTTCAATGATTTTAGTTCCTTTCATCTTGTCCCAATAACTGGCAAGGGAAAAGTCTTTGATTCACATCACAAAGTGTTTAAATTGAGTTGCTGTTATTGGCAGGGTGAAGATAAGGACAGTGCTTGCTCTTTGGTTTCAATGCTTAACTTTTTGTTCATCATTTTAAAATTAATTGTCCATTCCTTTTGTCATTATGGGGCTCTTTCTATTTTTCTTGCAGCTGGCTTGGCATCCAACTAAAGAAGGTTGCTTGGCTTTTGGAACAGATGATGGAAAAGTTGGCATATTTGACACATTATCCAGCAGGTAAGAAAGTAGTTTTCAAATTCATTAGTATCAGATCTTGCTGGCATGACAGCATGCATAGATGATGTGGTCTTTCCTGAGGCCTACATTTGCTATTTGTTAATAGTTAAATTAAAAATAGTAAGATGGATTTTAGGTGTGTCTTTTCATCTGTTCATCCTGACTGGTAGCTGCTGAAGTAACATTACTCAGACTGTGTAACATTCCCCTGTTGCAAGTCATCAGTCAGGGAAGACTTTGGTCAGAAACAGTTGCATAAAATGAGCGACATGCAGGTGCAATTCATTAAGTGTTCTGTTCTGATTTTAGTAGTGTTCTGCAGGAAGCATCAATGGCTGAGCCATTGCTTTAGTATATTGAAGCATCTGTTGTCTGTTTTCACTAGAAATACATTACTTCAATTTTGGGGGGGTTTTGCTTGTTTTGGATTTGGTTTAGTTTTGGTTTTTGTTTTGTTCTGCATTTTGTTCTGTATTTCCCTTTGCTGAAATCTGAGTACTCCTGCTTCCTTACCTTCTCGCACAGTGCTAAGAATAAGCCACCTCAGATCTCCAGTACTTACCACAAGAGGACTGTATACACATTAGCCTGGGGGCCTCCAACTCTTCCTCTATCTGCCGGTGAGTGTTACAACATCCTGTTACAAAGTAGAAATCCATAGAGAGCCCAGTCATGCCACAAAGTTGGTGTGCTTCCCTTCCTTAAGGATGCGAGCTCCATTTGCTTGGTAGCTGTCCTTTCTGTCCACTAAGGATGTGTTCTGCCTGAGGAATTGTTAATAGCAAGGGAGTAAAATAACCTGTTCTATGTTTTGAATTCTAGTAGCTTCAGGAAGTAGGTGGGAGTAGAGTACAACACCACATAGCCACACGTTTGCAATGCACTGAGATACTTGTACAGGCTCTCCACAATAATTGGTTAGGATCTAGTACAGATTCTTTAGCTCCATAAGTGTGTTTCTATCATTAGACCTAAACAGAATGGCTCCATTGGTCATCTTCTGCAACTTCCCCCCAAGTTTATTGACCAGAATTTAAAGGGAGTTTTAACACAGCAGCAATTGTGCTGTGGAGAATGAACGAGAGGTCCTTTTAGAGGATTGTATTTTGAGAATTTCTTCTTGCCAGATCACAGAGAATCAAAGCATACATACAGCATTTTAAAATAGTTTTGATCTGTAGTGAGAATGACTGCTTTTGCTAAGACTGATGAAGAGCATAGTATATTTACATTTTTTTCTCTGTTGAATAGGAGAAGAAGGTGAGCATCCCTCTGTAACTTTGTATAGTTGTGCTGGAGAAGGTATTGTTTTTCAACACAACCCTTGGAAACTTAGCGGAGAGGCAAATGACATCAACAAAACCATCAGGGACACTAATTCAATCAAAGTGAGTATGATTTTTGCCTTTTTCTATGGATCTGTGACTATAGTTGCTGTTGCCCTGTAGTTGTAGGCTTTTGAATTTTCTTGGAACATGTAGAGCTTTCTAAGGAGCACAGGGAGGTGGAGCATCAAGGTCCTTTTGGAATCCAGACAGATTTCATTGGACACATCCCCCTGCACTGCTAAAAACAGCCACTGTTCTTGCAACATCTTGCAGTTCATTCAGTCTTCAATTGCCCAAACTTACGTCACTGCTACAAAATGCAGCAGACACTTGTGTGGCTTCTATTTTGCAGACTAATTGTAATTCTGTCTAGTTGCCAGTTGTGTTCTGTTGATGTATGTGAGAGAGACCAAAGAGCTTTTGTGATGGCTGGTCATAGCTGTGCCTTCTCTCTACAGCACAAACTGCCTGCGCGTACAGAGATCAGCTGGAAACCAGATGGCAAACTCTTGGCCCTTGGCAATGAAGATGGGTAGGTTTCTCTCGTCAGGGTTGGCGCATGCACAACCTTAACCTACAGGAGTCACTGTTACGAAGCAAAAGTACTTTTGTTGTCCTGGTTTGGCTCTTTTCTTCCATTGCCAATGTATCTGAATTGTGAAAATACAGCATTCTTTGCTGGGATTTCATTTAGTTGCTCTCGGCATGGAGGATCTACAACATCATGTTACATCATTTTTCAAGGATCTCCTCATGACTGAAACTCATTTTCTTGATGTAAATTGGAGTGTGACTTGGATCCAGAACAGAAAATCTCATTTAGTTTCACAGACTGTCATTCAGGACAAACAAAACAAAATTGCATTTTCACTGACTGAAGGATTTCTCACGTTGTTATTCTTGCATTTCAGGTCAATTGAAATATTTCAAGCTCCAAGCTTGAAGTTGCTCTGCACTATCCAGCAGCATCACAAATTGATTAACGCCATTCGGTGGCATCATGAGCATGGGAGCGATCCAGAGTTGAGTTACTTGATAGCTTCAGGCTCAGTCAATGCCATTATCTATGTGCATAATCTGAAGAGTGTCATAGGTAATGGTTTGCAGGTTCTATCCCGTGTCTTGGCATCTTATTTTGTTTTCTTCTTGCTTTGAATTGCTAACTGTAGCTTTTTATTTCTTTCAGAGAGCACTTCAGAAAGTCCTTTGACTATAACAGAGCCTTTTAGAACTCTGGTGGGACACACAGCAAAAGTCACAAGTCTTTCTTGGAGCCCCCACCACGAGGGAAGATTGGTATCAGCTTGCTATGATGGCACTGCACAGGTACTTCTCTGCAGCCACTCAGAATTGTATTTCTTTTACTTTCAAATCATCCTTTCTGCAGTATTTTAGAACCAAGCTGATTGAACAGCAAAGCTTTTCTGAGTTCAGTTGCTTAATTTACCCTTGGCAACAATCTCATTTTGGATACCTGCTTTGGATACCTGATACAAAGGTATACTTTTTTCCTTTTGCTTATTCCCGCTTTTCTGACACGCTGCACAAATGAGAATATTGCAAAGAAGGCTTTTAGTCCAAACCTCTGGGAATTAACAAAGGGAAGCTGAGCAGTAGGTATGGCTTTGTGCCTTGCAATTTGATTTGTAAATCCAGTAGCATTTCTGGATTCTTAAGAAAGACATTAAGCAAGTACATTGGTACAAAAAAAGAAAGCTCTCTGAGTTTTCTCTATTTGCTTGCTGGTGACTGAAATGCCTCTGCAAACTCAGGAGAAGGCGAGCTCCTACAAATGTACATTGCTAAATTGGAAGCACAGAGTTTCATGGGTGGAAGAGGCTGAGTAATTAGGTTTGTTTCTTGGTCATAAGGTGTGGGATGTTATGAAGGAAGAGCCGCTCTGCAACTACCGGGGGCACCAGGGCCGGCTGCTGTGTGTCCAGTGGTCACCGGTGGACTCAGATTCCATTTATACAGGAGCTGATGATTTCTCTGTTCACAAGTGGCTCATCTCAAAGCAGGAGCATACACGGCCCCCTCAGGGTAAGTATATTCAAAGATCCTTCCCTGAAGGTGATTTGGGAGCCGAGAAGTAGAGAGTTGCCATGTTGAAATGGCAGTAAAGCTTTTATGCTGATTCAATACTGCCTGCTTCCCCTTTAGGGATAAATACTGTCTAGGTTTAAATTCAATTGTATTCTTATTTGCAAACTCAATGTTGATCTTGAGAGGCAAACACCTTATACCCCAAAAACGTCTACAGTAATATCAGAGTAACTTCTTTGTGACCTTTCATAGGCAAAAAAAGTATAGAATTGGAGAAAAAAAGAAGTATCCAACCGAAAGTAAAAGCCAAGAAGAAGAAAAAGCCTGTAGGAAAGAGTCCAACCAAGCAGGATCTAAGTGATGCCATGAATGGAGATGAGAGCATGAAGGATACATTGCTAGAGGAAAATGGAGTGTCTGACCATGAAGGAGAAAAAGAAGCTCAGGAGACAGAGTTGTCCAATAAAGATTGTGTGGCTGGTAATAAATTAATTTCTTAGTTTAGTGGCTTCCAGATTGCTTAGCCTTCAGAGCATCAGCAAGCCTAACATCTTTATGCAGGATTTTCTTCTAACACAATTTTACTGAAACAGTCCACCTGAGGGAAGTATGATTCCATAACACCTTTCATAACTTTATAAACTAATTGAAAGACAACCATTTCCAAACAAGAAATTCTGGACTAACAAAGTTAACTGTTTGCCTTGAAACAGTGTTATTTTTTTATCACTGTTGATTTGTGGTGATAAATCTTAATACTGATAGACTGTCATTAATATCTTCTGTCATCTTAGTTTTTGACAGTTCTGTGATGTTTTCTTATTATTTCCTTTCCCTGAAAGGCTATTAAGTTATATGACAAAGCAAAGCTTGCTTTCTATATATTTTGATATTATTGTTGCACAATATTAATGTCCATTATTTTGCATGTATTGTTTATCCTTTCTTAACCACTTCTTAACTGCAGTGCCCAAGGATACATCTTTATCTGCATATGATTACTCTTCATTCAGCTCATCAAAGCCTTTTGTAACCCAGAAAGCCACTCCTGTGAAAAAGGATCCACCCAAAGAGAAACCAGGTTGGTACATTTCAGATACTTGCACCTGTCCTATATCAAAAGAGTTCTTGGTTCTTGGTTTAGGCTTGGCTGCATCTTTCCTTCTTAACAAGTGGTGGAGAAAGAGAAGAGCGTGCTTGTAAAATGTCTTAAAGATTTCAAGTCTCTTATTTGCCCTGCTTGCCAGGTCAATTGAATATTGTTTAATATGGGCAGAGATGGTGCCTTACAGTTGCAAGTTTTAGTCTTGGCAGGCTGGCAGAAAAAAAAGCAAAGCAATCAGTATTTGAAAGTTATCACTGTAATAACAGGGATGCAGGTACCAGTTGAGTATGTTTTTTATTTTCTTCTGTGAAGAACAGGTAGGCTGGTTTCTGTTTGCTTTTCTGCATATGTCAGAGTTGTGCTTTCTCCATGCAACAGTGACTAAATGTATTGGTTTTTCAGCTCCTGATGCCTCTCTGAAGAAGAGGAAACCTCGCTCTCTTTTACCCTTCAGCACATCTATGGATCACAGATCAAAAGATGAATTGCATCAGGATTGCTTGAGGCTGGCAACGTGTCTGAAAACCAAAGGTATCAGTCTTAAACTGTAGCTTCCCCTCTCTGATCAGCTGGGTAAAATACTTAGAGGGAAGGTGCTCTAAAGTATTGAGAAGCATGTCGTGAATCCAAGGTCTCTGGACAACTTGGCATTAAGTTTTGGAAATGGTGATCTACTGTCTGTTGTAGTGTTGTGGCACTCTGTAGACACTCCAGACAGGTTTTTTTTTAGGATCCTGCTTTATAGAGATAGGGTAAGATTGTATAGCTTGGGGTTTTTTTTTTTTCTCCTTCAGAAGGTGAAAGGGAAAAGAAGTCACCAGGAAGACTTTTTATCATTGCAGTATTTTTCCCTAGATTGAGATCATTCCAAGGGAATTTCCTATGTTTGATTTGGAGTAAGTGTCCTGCACACACACAATTCTTCTGTTCAAACTTAGATGTAAGCTCTGAGTGACAATCTGCAAATGCACAAGCTTCTTAAATCTGCTGTAAAGAAAATGGAAGACAGAAATATTTGCAATAGCTGAGTGTGGTAGAGCAGTATACTGACTTGGCACGTCCTCGTTTCCCCTGTTGTACCAAATCCTAAACGTTCATTCTCTTTATCTGTGTTAGATCATAATGAAGATGTGTCCCCTGACCTCCAGAATCGCATCCACTTGGGGCTGTTCACAGACAGAGCTTCTCTGCACAACATGATTGATGTGGAAGGTAGGTGGAACGAGCCCAGTTTGGCAGTATGTCCATTGTCACTGCGATATTCAAGAACAAAACTCCTACTGCATATTTAAGTGCAGGATTAACAATGCAAGTCTGCTCAAAAAGAACAAAAGGCTTACTTTTCCCAAACAGTTTTTACAGCTTTCAAACACAAACCTAAAATGCTTTAAGCCTGAACAAGCTCATTTCTGTCAAGATATTTTACTGTGTCAAATAATGCTGGTGCACTCATTCTGAAAGATAACGAGGAAGCTTGTTTACTTCAAACAGGAAAATACCACTTGGAGAATGGACATCCAGAGCTCTTTCAACAGCTCATGTTGTGGAAAGGAGACATGAAGGGTGTACTCCAGGCAGCTGCTGAGAGGGGAGAACTGACAGACCAGCTGGTAGCCATCTCACCCATGGGTACGTTTGCTCATGTGACACATAAGCAGATGGAATTAGTTGCCAAACTTCACCTCGTTGTTTTAGATTGGAAACTCATTACTCTTCTGGATTGGATAGCAGTTTCTTCTTTAACAGTATGATGACAAAAATCAAATACAAAACAAATTCTATTTATGACAAAGCCTGGATGTTCCCACAAGCACCCTTAGAGTAGCGCAGCAGAAAATAAAGAGATTTCCTTTGGGACTTTCCAGAGAAGCAGGCTGTACCTCCAAGGGCAAAGATGCTGCTTTGTGATAGGTAGCAGTCCTGGCTCGCTGTTGGTTTAAATGTATTTTTAAGTTATTTTACTGCTAATGAAATCCTACAGTTGTTTTCAAGTCCAAGCTTTGTCCTGTTTTGTTGCCTCAAGTAGCTTGCATTAGAAAGATGAAAAAGTACCTAAGTGGGGGCAAAGAAAGTGCATGCTGAAGAAACCAATGAATTCTTGAAGAGAACAGGAATTTTTTCTGTTTTAGTTTTTTTGCCTGTAATTGTATTGCTTTCTCTTGTGCAGTTGGATATCAGGCTTGGGTTTGGACAGTAGAAGCCTTTGCAAAGCAGCTGTGTTTCCAGGAGCAATACGTGAAGGCTGCCTCCCATCTCCTGTCCATTCATAAGGTGTATGAAGCTGTCGAGCTCCTGAAAGTGAATAATTTTTACAGGTTGTTGCATGTTTGTGTTTTAGATTTTTTTCTTCTATTTTGTTTTTGTTGTTTGTTTTTTTTTTTTCCCCATGAAATACTTGAGGTAGTTTCTTTTTAAACGTAAGAGATGATTCCTTTATAAAAGGAGAAGGTATTTATGCATTTTTAATACAATCAATCTTCTGTCTGGTTTCTCTTACGTGCATTAGGGAAGCAATTGTAATTGCTAAGGCTCGGTTGCGTCCAGAAGATCCAATTCTGAAGGATCTCTACACCAGTTGGGCAGCTGTATTAGAAAAAGATGGTCATTATTCCATGGCTGCCAAATGGTAAGTGTTACTAGTAAGAAGACAGAATTGAGGGCTTCACATTTGTGATTACCAGTTACTAATAATATTTGGAATATTTTGGTCTGGGATTGCACACTGGCTTTGCTTGATGTTGTTTTTGGCTCCGGCATTTTTGGAGTTTTCAGACTTCTGAGAAGGATTCAGCTGAAATCCAGACACTAATTTTTGTCTCTTGAATCTATTTATTTGTATTACTCTTGTAAGCCATGCATGGTGTACATACCACCAGCAGTTTTATTCCGGACTATTAGGCTTTGTGACCTAGAGTCAATTTGCTTTTTTCTCTTTTCAGTTATCTGGGTGCTTCCTCACCCTACGATGCAGTTAAAGTGCTGGCAAAGAAGGGGGATGCAGCATCCCTTAAAACTGCTGCTGAGCTTGCTCTGATATCTGGAGAGGAGGAATTGTCAGCAAGTTTGTCTCTCAGATGTGCCCAAGAAATGCTGTTATCCAGGAACTGGGTTGGAGCACAGGAAGTCCTTCAGCAACAGAAAACTTTATTTGTGAGCCTTGTTCTTTCCTTTCTGCTTTATTTTAGCACTGTCTCTCTCCAGATTAACTTGATTAACTTTACACCTCTTCCTGTGTATTAACAATCCACTGGTAGCCCTGAGCTTGTTTTGCCTCAAAATTTTTTTTTCTAGAAGTTTATTGCAATGACACTTCAAAAAAACCATGCATCTTGGCAGAGAAAAATGGCCTATGATAGGGAGGCACGTAGGCTCAACACACGTTCCATCCATAAGAGGTAGTTCAGAAGGTTTTTCTGCTTGTTTTTGCTTTGCTTTGTTGTGGTGTTTTTTTTTGTTAGTTATATAGTGCAGATTTCTTTTTTAGTACATAGTAGTGATCATAATAAGAAAGGTAAAAGAGTGTTCACTGTTTACATTAAATGAATGAGTATCTCCATCTGAGGCTTAATCCAAGAATTTCTTATAGCACAGACTGAGAAGCAGAATGTTGCCTTAGCCTGTTTTGATGTTTCCTTCTGACCTTAGAGCCTCTGTCAGTACTTTTCCTTTAGAGCTGTAGTGGTGAAGCATGCTATCAGCAGCAGCCTGCTACTAGCTGTGTTTTTAATTTAGCCACTTGGTGTAGGCAGTAAGAGATTATTTTTCAGCTCAATGCTCTTGTTTTCTTCTCTTGTTAAAGGGGCAAAGACTCGTTTTCTGCCTCAACGAACTGCTTTGTAAGTGCCTTAGCGAAAGAAATCCCTGTAATCGAAGGAGCCCTGTGCCTCCCTGTTACCACAGCTGGGAGCTGAACAGAGATGCCTCCTTTTTCGACATGGTGATAGAGGTATGGCAGAAGGTCCTAGGCATGGACACCACTGAAAAAGCCACGTGTGCATGGGAGCAACTGCGCAGTGTTGAGCATCTTCCTTGTACCAGCAACACTCACCCAAAGCAGGTAACTGGACTTAAGTCTGTACACAACAAGCCTCCCTATGGCACGTGCAGCCACTTTGTGGTGTCCTGTGAGCTGTTTCCAGGAGATTGCTTTCTGCTACAGGACGAGGTTACAGTTTGGGAGAGTTAATGATGAGACAACTGGGGCAGCTTCCCCCAACAAGATTTTGTTTAGAACTGTCAGGGGAGGCCAGGATGCTTGCTGTTACAGATATGGTAGAGTCCAGGTATGGTCATAGACTGATGCTCTTGCAGCTCTTCTCTCTGCCCTCACTGAGTCACTGACCATTGGGGAACTTCTCAGCCACTTAAGAGGACAGAGGCAAGCACAGTTGCTGATAATTATAGTGACAGGTCATGTAAAGATGCTCTGATTTCCTACATAAAGGAAACCATGTAAGTTACATCACTGTTAAAATTTCTCTTGGTGGTTATGTGCTTCTGGACTTTTCTGTAATAGTTTTAACTAGCAAGTCATTCCTATTTAGCAGTATAACTCTGAACTGTGCTCTCTGCTGCTTCCTCTAGGTGCTTTTCTATATCTCCCATGACCTGACCCTCGCAGCACTGAGCTATCAGGCTGCTGCCTGGGATGATGCAGTGAAAAGTATTCTTGGTGCCGTGGCCCGTGGTTACGATGCTGGCAATTTTACTCTGATGCAAGAAATTTGCAGTATTTTCCTTCCTGAAGGTACGTCTCTTCTTGTACATCTCCTAGCAATGACAAATATAAGAATCTTCCTCGTAAGCAGAGTTATGTGTCCATTACATCCTTTGTTGCTCTTCCCTTTATTCTCCAGACTATGCAGTGCATTCAGCTGTAGCTGTTGATCACGTGAATATCCTAATTAGTGATTTAGGACACAAGGGAGTTGAGTATGGATGATAAGAAGATGCAGTCTCATGCTAGTTAGAAGAGAGTACTGTATTTAAAAGGATGGCAAAGATGTCTGCTTTTGCTTTTCTGCTTTCAGCGTCACACTGCTGCATCTGAGTAAATCTGTGTTAGGGGTCTCCTGTACAGCCATTCAGTTATTAGATCTGGTCTTTTTTATTTGGAAATCCTTATAATAGATTTGTAACTTTTTTTATTATTAGGCTGTGAGAACCTGAGAGACAAACTGGACAGCACAAATTCTCAAAGTGTAGATGCTTGCAGAAGTTTAGAGGGCTTTGTGGCTTATGGACTGCTGTATGACCTGTGGTGGAACCCACCCAAAAGTTCTTCTGCCATGCAAAAGGCTGGTTTGGATCCTGTGTTGTGTCCCACTGAGCAGACAGCTCTTGAGCAGAGTTGCATTCCTGATCACTCCTCTCCTGAAGAAACTCCTGATCAAACTGCAGTTGAGATGGATGAAAACCTCAGCAGTACAACTGAATTTAATAGGTGCAGCGACTCAGAAAGTAACTCAGTCAGTTTGGCAGACAGACAGTCAAAACTGAAAGGCTGCAAAGTGCTCCTTTCAGAAGCGATTGCTGCTTTACAGAGCACACAGAGAGATATAGCTGAGGTCCAGAAAATTTTGGCAGACATGATCCACCAGCATCAGCAGCAGAGGAATAACCCCCAGGGAAGCACAAATGGAAGTGTCCATGAGAACAACGTGCAGCAGAGTTCAGAGAACGAATGGGATGAACCATGCTCTGACAGCAGTCAGGTTAAGCGGTAAGCTTTCAAACATGAGATGGATTGAAAAGGGTAGCCTTTCAGTTGGTGCTTGTGCAGTGGATTTCTTACTTGCTCAGATTACTGCTAATCTCATGCTGCTCAATGAATGTATGCCTAAGAAGTCTTGCATTTCCCTAAGGCATTCACACGTGTGTGAACTTACTACAGCTGAATGACTTTTTGATAGGTGGGTTTATTATAGCAGGGAGGCTACACAGTCATTCAAACAAACCAATTACTCATAACACCTGCTCTTTTCTTAACAGTAAAGATGAAGAAAAAGAAACAGTTACCCTCCCTGAACTAACAAAGCGACTCTTAGAAGCAAAGCAGAAATTAGCAGAATTTCCAGACAGTTTAAAGGTAAGTTTTCAGTAGAGGCAGTATAATTCTGAAAGAGGACAGCCTTTTTGTAAGTCGTTGTAATGCTATAACATGATGGAAAGTACAGCAGTAATAGTGGGGTGGCAGAGCCCTAGCTGCAGCAAATGAGAAGCACAAACACAGAGCTATGGATACAGAAACAAAGGGAAAAAAAGCACTTACGTTTAGAAGGCTTCAGGCATGCAGGTTTCTCCAGCAAGATCCTCTAGCCTCCACTGCCAACCCTTAAAGGAGGCCTGGGAAGGGATGAATCCTGGCTCCACCCCTTCTGTCTCTCAGGAGCACTGCATGCACCTGAGCTCCCCTTTGCTGGCCCTGCCTTCCACCAGGTGCCCAATCACTGCTTCAGGCTGTGACTCAGCATTTCTGCTAGTTTGTTTATACAGAAGGAGCAGTGACTTTGTGCCACAGCTGCACTCTAGAAGTGTAGGATAAAGGTGTAATGTAAATATAAGCTGGCTGATATAGGTGGGCAGAATCGCCCTCCTTTTCCATGAATGAATCCCACAGCAATTTTGAGAGAATTAATACATCAGTGTTTGATTCTCGCTTCAAGCATTACTTTCTCCATGCAGTTGAAGCACATAGATGAAGTTTCTGCATGAGACAACTCAGTGGGATATCCTGTATGCATCTTTCCCATGTATTCTAAGAGCAATTCTATGCTATGTACAGTAATTCCACGTACAGAAGTAGTTTTGATAGTGAAGTCATGCATGTCAAGCATAACATGGCCTATTATTAATTAGAAACTGTTCAAATGACACATTGTGAGACTGAGAACCACCCCTCTCTGGTCTGTCATGTAAGTATTTACAGTGATTGTGCACAGGGGAGCAAACTTAACCAAGTTAAATGTGTGCTGGTGTCCTGGAAGAAGAGGAAAAAATCCATCTGACTCCTGACTGTCTCTCCCAGATAAGATACTGTAAAGCAGTGTTTCTAGATGCAGCTGCTTGAACATGTGGTAGTAGAACAACTCCAACTGAAAGAGTGGACTCACTTTTCGTTCTTTTTTCGTGTGCAGGTCTTTCCGTTCCCTGATGTGCTGGAATGCTGCCTTGTCCTCCTTCACATTGGAGCCCAGTGTCCTCCTGAATTACGTGAACAGGCAGTGGATCTCCTTAGGAAACATGGTAGTGCTGATGTTTATGGAAAGGCTGCCAGGAAGTTCTTGACGTGACCTTTTGAGACCAGACATCTCCTTTGAGCTGCTCACAGTTACTTAGCACCAATTAACACCAAGACTGTTCTTTCTTCAAAGTGAAGGCTTGTTTCTACAGATACAGTTACTGATGACTGCTGTTTTGGATAAAACTACAAAACAATTGGGTTTATATACATACATCCATGGTTATCAACTACTACTTAATGGGATTGCGTTAGGAAATTGAAAAGTAGTAGATTGCAGCCTTGAAACTTTACAGGAGTTTTATGGCACAGGAAGTGATGCTAAGGAAATCTCTTGGAATTTACATGCAAAGTAGTTTTGAGCAGCTGTCTTCCAGCAGAAGAGCACTAGCTGCCCTCTGAAGAAAATAATGATTCCTTCAAGTAGTCTGACCTTTGAACCAGTGTTGTGTGACTTTATAAAGTGTGACTTTATTTTCCCGTCTTTAAATAAAGTCTTCTACAAGCAGGAACAGGCATTTAATGAGATATCATTAGAAGTAGTTATTTGTGTTGTTGCTGGAACAATAGAAATTGAACATGCTGGACAAAGCAGGTGTTTGTTGCATGTCGTAAATTAGCTTTGTGTTTTGTTTGTTAGTTTTTAAGTATAGCGAGGGTAAATTGGAGGCAGTAACAAGTTCTCCAAGTGTCAAAAGTGATCCTGGATCCTGCAGTCCTGAACATGCACTGTTTTGGCCATTCTTACAGTTTACTAGAGCTTTTTCCATCTTAACATAAGAACTTCTTCCTGAAAGAACAAAGCTGTAAAGAGCCTCAGTAAATTCTAGAAGCAAAACGATTCAAATAGCAGCAGGTAAAAGGAGGGAGTTGGATCAAAAGATTAATTAATTTTAGATTAATTAAAGATTAATTAATATTAACCTGGTGGAGTTGTTCCCACTAACTTGGAATTGCTTGAACCAGGAGGGGGAGCTACTGCTTAACCAAACAGCTCTCCTATCATTTAGGCAAGAATCCTTACGGTGGAGCTGAAGCAGGAAAATTTCAGGCAGGACACATCAGCAAAATAGATTTGTCATTTCAAGTGGCTGAGCTGCTTGCTGAGCTAGCAGAAGGTCAGAAAGAGAATCTAAGTCCACCAAAGAGAGTTTAAGCTCAAATTCACTGAAGAACAGCTGATAAAAGCAAATTTTAAGAACTATCCCAGTCGTATATCCTAAGTAGTAAGAGAAAAAAACTTCAGCATCTTCCCTTCCTTGCATGCAGGCACCTCTTGAGTTCAGATTCCAGAGTTCCATCAAGTACTGAAATTCCCAAACAAAGCCTTGTTTAAAAAAATTTATTTTACAAAATTTAAAAACAAGTACTATTTACAAGCATTTCAAAAACCAGCTCTAAACCTCCGTTCCTAGTAATGAATTGAATAAGCTTGTTTAAAATTCATGACCAAGTCAAAATTTTAAGTTTGCCCCATCCAAAACTTTTTTTTTTTCCTAAATCATGTCATTACAGAGCTGCTGAGGAAGGAAAAAAAGTATGGCTTGATTTTTAAAAGGCAGAATCCCGCACTGTTCATCCATTCTCTAGCTCTGTTTCAGATGTTTTTAATGACAAGAAGGAGAGCTGTTTTGCAGGTTGTTAAGCATAAAAAGGAGGGAGAAGAGCATCAAGTTTATCCATTTTCTGAATTAACTCTGTCAAAATGAGACTAACATTTGTAGGTCAAGTTGAAGACGACTGAAGTCAGAATATTGGTCCTGGCAAGAGGTTCTCAAGCAAAAATTAATTTCTAGACCCTCTTAATCTCTACCTAGAACAGTTTAACGCCTGTAAGAACTAAGCCAAGGCTCAGTATGGATCAACCCTGCACCATACAGAAGCAAAAACTATGAAGCTGACCAAATCAACTCCAGACTCAAGTAATATCCATTCCCATCGTTGTAAAGCAAACCTCCAAATAGTTTTAGCTGCAAGGATCGTTTTTAATGTTATCCTTTCCCAAACCTCTGCAGTGATCAAAGGGAGCATATTTTCCACAGCCTAGGCAAAGATAAAATAAGCAACAAATGAGGTGAAGCTGTCACCCTCACAACATGCAGAAGTTTTAAAATAAGCTTTCTAAAGCACAGTTTGCAAGTTTGTGTGCACGTCTGTGTCTGACTTCACTGGATTTCCAGGTCCTTGTCTTAAAGGAAAATTATTCCACTGTTAAGTCCTCCTTGCAGATTCTGTACAGTATAAAGAGGAAAAAAACAGAGGTATACACAGTAGTTTCTGTCTTTTGCCCTTCGTATTAAAAAGATGGCAAATCACAAATGCTGGCATTAGGAATTTAGTCAACTCTGTCCAGGGTTTCAAAAGAAGATGCAGCTCTTCAGCAAAACTGCAGGCCTTCCAGAGATTGTGTACTGTGCCTTTTGAGACACCATTAGGGAAAATGGGTGAGGACAGCAGCTGCCAATGTAGTAACCACGTTCTGCTGAGGGCTACCACCTATCATGGCTGCATGTTGTTGATAATAGCCAAAATGCTCATTTTCTCCTGGGCTGAGTCCACATCTTCATTTTGTTTCTGAGCCACTCCTGTGCCAAGACCATACAGCCGCCCGCAATACTTTGCATCATCAATCGTATCCTCAAAGAACAACTGCAGAGGGGAACAAAAAAAGAGGAAGAGAAATTAATTGTTCCTCTAAACTGGAAAGCACCTAACCTTAATTAAAGACATCATCTGAAATCAGCCACTCCTAGGATTCAGCATGGGCAGTAAGACAAAGACTGGAAGGAAGAATAAAGGGGAAGATTCAATGCCAATAGAAACGATCTCTATTACCGACCATTTTGAAGTGTGATACTCACAAGGCTCAAAAAGAAAAACACCACCAAAAGCATGGTTTGTATTGATGCTGATGGACAGAGACTGGAGAAAGAACCAAAAAGAACACTGCACTACCTCTTTCATTCTGAAGAATGCCATTCCTGTGAGAAGAGAGTCTGATCCTGCCTGGTGCTGTCTTCCAATTCGCTGCAAATCCAGTTGATCTGCCACTTCTTGAAGGCCACCCTGCAATGAAAACAGATGAGTTTATTTTCTAAACATCTGTGTCTTACCATAAGTGCCACACTTCTCCAGAACACAACTGTTAAATACTGTGTGCAGATTCCAGCAACATACACACCCCAGCTGTGAGTGAAATACAACGATAAACATTGTCCAAGAATGCAGAAACACTCTAGTCAAATTTAGGTACCTTGCTTTCCTGTTGCAGACACACAGATGACTGTGGGTACAGTCACAGGTTACAAATGCTGCACCTTTCCCACCCTTTCCTGAACCAAGGCTGTGATTCAGTACATAAATAATCTTCAACCCTCTGAGTGCCTAGCAATTAATCAAGTCATGGAATAGTTCACATAAGACAAAAATGCTCCACTTTGTGCAGGGGGAAAAAAAAAAGATACACATGGTTATGTGAATATTCCTTATATAATAAATATATTGACAAGCTTATAACAGGGGAGGCAGTACCTGTTAGATACAAACTTAGTCTTATGTGTCTCTGTGACTACTGGATTTGATACTTCAGTTTAGAGAGAGAACGGTTCTGTCATTTGGTGTCCTGCAGATGTGCAGGGCTGCTGTCCATCCACCCCTTGTTTGCACTGAAGACAAAATTACCTTGAGGTTTTTGCAGCTCTTCATTAAGTATTTTACATCATAGATAGATGGGAAGAAAAGGTTCAAGATATGGAAAAATTCATGTTCCTCTTCAGGTAACCTGGAATCTGTCAACAGCTTCACCATGTAGCCGAAGTCATAACCACTGAAAACAAACATAAAGAACCTGACAGACACCTATATTCAGCTGGTATTAGTGTTACATGAGTTGCAAGAGGGTGTTTTTCTGTACTTATAGCCTTCTTTTCCATAAAGGAAGCAAAAGAACTTGCAAGCAGCACACGCACAAAATGCAGATCAAAATAGGTGCCGATATAAAATGAAGTACCAGCGTGCTTAAAGTTGGCCTTTACAATTTCAAACTTACATTAAGAACTGCACAGCTGCTAAAATTCATCTCATTAAAATCTGTGTCAGACTCCATGGTCCAAAGCAGCAGGATTTAAGCCAAAAAGAGGCATCTTGCTCAGTAGCACCAGCGATCATCAGACCTACCTGTGAAACGACAGCCACTTCACACTGTCACTAAGGACGACCCCTGAAGTCATGAGCAGCTCAGCAAAATGCAGGGTATCGATCCCTTCTTCCTCATGCTTCTGGAACTGCAGCCCAGAGCTTGCAAGGAGGTCTATGGAATCCTGAGAGTACATATCCTCCCTGAAGGAGAAAAGCAGAGCTCTGTAGTCAAGGCTCATTTCAGAAAGGTTTCCCACACGTCGCATTTGGAAAATCGGAGCGACCTGCAGGCTGCCCACCTCTGAGCTCCATTGGGTGTCTCTACAAAACTCAAATCACTTTTAATACCCTTCATTACTCTTACACATTTAACAAGATATTCTGCAACCTCAACCGAATATCAATTCTGCTGCTACTGCCAAATCTGAAGAATGCACCTCCACAGAACTATGCTGTGAAAGATATCTCTGAGGTAATGGAAGTGCCAGATGATGGGAGAGAAAAGGGGAATCATCCCAAAGAGGAAGACACAGACCTCTAAAGCAGCAAGCACCACTGCTGCCTGTGTCTTATTTGTCACATGACAGCACTATATTACCTTATTATTATCTGCAATGCTATCTTAGAGACTAAACAAAATTGCGTAACGCTTGACTACAGAGATGAGTGCTGATAAGCCTGGAGAAGAGCTGAGCAGACACCCGAGTTTTATACTCCTAAGCTCCATCTGGAGGTGGGGGACATGACAACACAGAGCAAAACTCATACCAAACATGATAATTTAGAGTCAAATAGGGTTCACAGCATCAAAACCTCTCTGTTATGACTTAAATGCTTTTAAGAGGCTGAGAGAGTTGTGCAAGTAAACACTGCAACTTCTGTTTTCAAGAGCAGTATGATCAGCTTATATGAACAGCTTTTTGGTAATGTTCTGTTTCACAGTAATACTGATTGCCAAAGAAATGCACTTTTGCCAGAGAAACTTTCTCTATTTCCAGGCAGCTTTTGTGACACATAAATCCTCTTTATAATCACACAGGAAGAGATAAATAAACTTGTTTCAACTGCAGCCCAGGAAACGATAGTGTGGAAGAGTCAAGAACTGCCACACTCACTTTAACAAGGCTGATTCTCCCAAACACGTGTGATAATTCCGCCTATGCTTTTTCCTTTAGATACTTTAGCAAAGCTCTGTAAAGGGGCTTTTTCCTTTTTGCTGAAAATTGCACGTCCACTTTTATTTAGCAGAAAGACACAGATTTGCACTGAATCGATTACATGAAATATATGGAAATATATAAAAACCACATAGTTTCAGATCATAACATTATTCCACAAATACTACAATTCCTGTCATGCCAAAACGGAGCCTCACATGATCTGCTCTGGAATCTCAATTTTCAATGCTCAGAACCAACCAGTGATGAGGCACAAATGGATTTCTGCATTTTCCAAAGACAAGCACACGGCAGCACTGGAAGCAGCCATTGCTCCCTGGCACAGAAGACTCACGTAAGGTTGAATTTGAAGTTGAACTGCCAGGTGTTGATCCCAGAAGGATATTCTCCCTTCTCATTTGTGAAAGTCAGGCCCAGCTGGATAATTTTCAGAAGATCAACGTTACACCGAAGAAGCTGATACTGATAGTCAATGGAGCTGCGGAATTCACCAATGGGCCTTACAACAACCCCAGGAAACTCCGTGTCCTGGAAAAGAAGAGGAAATCTTATCCCACATTCTGGCAGGACTGTATTCAGTTCCACACCTGCAGGTCTCAATACTGCAATCTGTGAGTCCTTCTATTAAAAACACTTATTTTTCATCCCATTTCATATTCTAGTATGGACTTCAAACCGCTACAAGTCAGAACTAAAAGAAAACCTACATCATGTGTCAGCCAACTGCACTCATTCACTCTCACAGGTAACCTTTCCTGTGGCTTCGTTTCAAAACAAACACGTCACAAAATCACCCAGCATGAGTTACTGCATCACTTGAGCATCTCTTACTCCCCAGGGCCTACCCCTCTTATTTTCCCCATACCTAATGAAAAATGATTTATTTAAAAATACACATATAGCATTCTTTCAAGTTCCAAATGTAAGTGAAATCCAGCACTCTCACCAGTATAGATCATGGTAAACTTTGTAGTTACTAAAAAAAAAAATAGCCGATACTACACTGATAGAAATTGCTGCAAATCAAGACAGACTTCAACAACAAAGCGACCATACTAATTTCTACTCTCAAGTCAAATAGCATCAACAGATAGATAGACTACAGCAATACTCCAATAGATAGACTACAGCACACAAAAACTTTCAGAGGATCCAGTACATAAGAGAATTTCTCCCTTGCACGTCTTCCTGTACCCACTCTTACAGCACAGCAATTACAACAGGCAAACAGGCCAGAAAGAGATGAAACACAAAGCATATTGAAGCAAGGCATTCATTTCCAATCAACATACAATTGAATATATACATATATGTTTACTGTTTACTTCACAACTTTGTTCTGCACTGAATTCTATGCACTCTGAAGGCACGTGTATTTTTATGTCATGCTTTTATTACAGAATTCTCTCCTATCTTTGAGTTTAGCATCCTCAGTCAAAGCTGTCGTAACTGAAGAGTACCATAACTCAGTTGGCTGTGTGAGTGCCTGGCTCCTGCCAAGCAGATACAGACTTTAAGAGCAGAAAGGGATTCTTCCCATCTGGAGGATATTCTGCTGCTCTGAAATAAAACTTCCTGAAATGCGCTGTCATATTGACAGCCAGAATATTCTTCTGGAACAACCAACACGTGAGCACGCTAAGAAGGAGCCACTGCTGCTAACAAGTTGTCACTTGGAGGTTTCTTCTCCTTCAGTTTCCTGCCAATTTTCCAAAACGGGCAAGAAATTTACAGAACCTAAAGATTTGTACACCTGAATGCCCCACCTTCTACTGTACAAACTACTACATGCTGATATTCAATTAATTCCCTTTTCTAAGGTGGTCTCTCTCTCTTCTCCGGCTTTCCATCAAACCAGAATGAAGACAAGACACACTATGTTCTGGTATGTCTCTCTAGTGATGAGTTTCCTAATATTTCGCCAATTAACTGCTATTTTTGTTTGGTAACAGATGAGGGAAATCACTTTTCACTCAAGAAGCACCACAGAATCATCGACATTGGAAAAGATCTCTTGGTCCAACTATCATGTGCCCCTATTTCCCGAATAAGACAAACAGGTCAAGCATGAAGCATTTACCATTGCGATGTAGCTGTAACTCAGCACAATCTCTCGGATTTTCCTCATCTCTTCCTCCAGGTTGTTGGCCCACACCTCACAGATCACCTGGCTGTTCTCCGCCAGGGCTGCTGGCATCCTGCCGGGCCCAGGGCACAGCCAGCTCCCCTCGCCTTCAGATGGCAGCGTACAGCCGCAAGCCGCGCGATCTAATCAGCGTGCTGCAGCGAACAGACGGAAGGGCGTGAAGAAAGAGCTACAAAAAGGAACGAGCCAGCACGGTACGGCGCGCCTCCGCGGCATCACCGCAGCCCCACTTCCGCGGGGCTCGGCGGCCTCCGCCAACGGCCGCCCCGAGGCAGCCGGCAACGAACAGCGCCCCGGAGCCGCGCCGGCCCCGGCGGGAGCGCGCCTGGCCCCGCAGCCCGCGCGCCGCGCGCGCCCCCACGAGCCGCGCTGCCTCAGGGCTGAGGCCCACCAGCCACCGCCGCCCTGCGCCGCGAGGGGCCCCGCACCTGCTAGAGCCCGCCGAGCCCAGCCGCGCCGCCTCCCGCGGGCCTCCCGAGCCCCGCCCGTCCCCCACCGCTCGTCCGCTCCGCCGCTCCCCATCGCTTTCCCCTCCCCCAAGCGCTACCTGCCCGGAAGCTGGGGCCGGGCCTCTCGCCTCCGCGCAGGCGCGATGACGCCTCCGGCTGAGGCGGGATTTCCGGGTTTGTGCCCGGCTCTCGCGAGAGTTATGGCAAAGCCGCAGCGGCGCGCGGTGCGGTACGTTGCGGCTCGCGCCTGGCGCGCGCTCCCGAGGAGGGGACGGAAACGGAGGGGGCGGGGAAGGCGGAGCGCCACGCGGGGTTCTGCCCGCGGCGCGCATGCGCAAAGCCGTGTCCTTGTCGCGCGCCCCGCCCGGCTGTGGGCTCGCGGCGCGAGGTGCGTGACGTGGCGGCGCGTGCTGTTACGTGGCGTGCTGTTATTGCAGCGTGCTGCTATTGCTGTAAGGCAGCGTGCTGTTAATACAGCGTGCTGTTACTGCTGTTATTGCAGCGTGCTGCTATTGCTGTAATGCAGCATGCTGTTAATACAGCGTGCTGTTACTGCTGTTATTGCAGCGTTCTGCTATTGCTGTAATGCAGCGTGCTGTTACTGCTGTTATTGCGGCGTGCTGCACGCTCGGGTGTCCGGGATGTGCTGATTGTTCGTGCTCAGGAGCCGCTGTCTGTCTGCTCACGGCTGTTATTCCGCATTTCTGCTGCTGCTTCGGAGCGGTTGTCTGTGCACCTTTGGGTTCATTTCCCCACGTGCCCTCAGCTGCCTGCTCACCAGTTCCATAAAAGTACCCAGGAAAACACCTTGGCAGCTCTTACACATCAGGCACTGTTCAGCACCTCAGCTTTAGTCCTCATACCTCAGCAGAAAAAGCTCTGACAGTGCTGCTTTGCTAAAGGCTCCTCTCTTATCGATTAACCTTGGAGCTGTCAGCATTCTGAAGTTTATTTTGATTCGCCGTTTATCTCCACGGTCGATAGTTGGCGTTTTGCATGCTCAGCTCGGGTCTGTGGTTGCTGCTGTAATTTATGCCACGTGCTGCATTTGCAGAAAGGTCTCTGTCACCTCTAGCAAAGAGCAAATCCCATTCTTGCGTTGCTCAGAGCTGAGCCTTTGTCTCACACTGGAGTGGTTTTGGTGAACGTGCAGCTCAGGGCACAGCCTGGCCAGCGAACAGCTGTGTGTTCAGTGCTGTCCCGTGACCCGAACTGTGGTAGAAAGCAAACGAAGACATCCTTTAAACTAATCTTAGAGGCTGTAAATCCTTCAGATAGAACCCATATCTCGATTGGACAGAGGTTAAAAAGAAACACTGACATCCGTGCAGTTCACTCTTATCACCTACTTTAGCATATTAGATTAACAGTGCTACCAGAGTGAGACCAAGTCCAAATAACATGCTGGACAACCTTTATTCTCTTGAAATGCCAGTTTCCACTTCCTCCTTTGCACGTACCCAAATAGCTCGGAGGAATCACGTTGCTCCATATTAAGTCCATGATAAATAACAATTAGCAGCAACAGCTGAGAATTAAAAACTCTTTCCTCAGTAGGAAATACTTCGCGTTAGTCAAGAGAAAGTGTCAGTGGAAACAGTAGCAGTCTCAAATATGGAAATGAAGCAACAGGAACAGAGATGAAATGGCACGAGGCTGGGAGGGGAGTTAGGAATATTCCTTCCAGAAAAGGTTGCTTGATAAAAATATAATGGTAGGTACAAAAAAATCAGACAGGGACAACAAGGCACCACCATTACTCGTGCTTGCAGATCACTGCAATTCTCACTACTGCTAGCTTGAAATTCTGCTTACAAAACAGCTTCACTCATGAGGGGCTGAATGGTGCTAACTGTGAGAGGAAGTGGTCCTCAATTTTCCTCGCATGGAAAAAATAAACACGGTAAGTTATGTGAAGTAACACCCTCATTTCTCTGAGCTTAGTTTACAATAGGACACTGTATATTGGGCAAGTAGTACAGATCGGGGCCACATCTGCATAATAAAGACAACACTCCAGCACCTTACATCTTGCAATACTGTAATTACAGACTTCATGGTTGGTAAGCATATTTAAATACAACTGAGCCCAACCACATTCTAACCTATTTGCATTTCATCCTCACAGATAGAATCAATACCCGTAACTGTTTGATGTAGCGACAGCTGTTGCAGTTTATAGATTTAGTGAGAGATGATGAAAGAGGGACTGCTGGGCTTTGCCAAACACCCCTGTAACTTACATGTGTTTAACAACTACACCTTTGACCCATTCAGTTGCATTGGCATCAGCTACTTTGTGCTGAAAACATGAGTTCATGCCTAGTAGAAACGACTTATCTTTAAGGTAGAGCTGTCTTTTTTATTCTCAATACACTCTTGATGAAAAACTCTTACCTGCAGAGCTGTATTCTGAGCGCTGGACTGAGCGACAGCATGCGCACACACACAGGGAGCAGTGCCAGCACTAACAGTGACACGGTGCTGACTTCACATGACTCGTCTGGGAGGGGACAGCCAACTCCTGCCTGGAAACACCCCGGTGCCTAAACCCTCATAAAGTTTCCGCAGCAGTAGTGAAAGGTGAGGAGTTGTGCTCTGAGCAGAAACAAAGGACCTCTCCTAGGCTACAGCCAGCGGGAGGTGAGCAAAGAGACTGAGCTCAAAGGTACTGTGGCTTGAAAATACCTGATTGAAACTGAAGAAATAACTAAAAGGCACTGCCATGTGTGTGTTTAAAATACAATTGTAAGCTTTTCTAGGAACTGTAATTGCCTTCTGAGCTATGCAGAGCTTGGCACGATAGGAGACCCACCAGACACAACATCTAGTCCCGTATCTGACTGTACAGTGTGGCTGATGTGCAGCTTTTGTGGAGAGCAGGTAGGTTGTCCTTACATTTTCTTTTATAGGTTTTGTACTTTTGCAGAGAAGTGGAAGACAAGGTGGTTGCCACACTGGCCGTGCACTGTAAAGGTTGATTCCAGCGAAGTAATAAAATAGAAGATTCAAGCAAGAGGGAAAAAGGAGTCCCAAGCAGCTGGACTGGCAGCCAGTCCATCACTGCAGACATCTCCAGTTATTCCTGCCAGCAGCAGGAGCACAGTACTGGGTGCAGTACAAGGGGAAGTGGGCACTGGTGCATTCTCAGCATGGGACTGTCTGGGCAACAAGAAATGTAAGGGGGCATAAATAATAATAATAATAATGTAAATTTTTAATACAAAAAAATGTCTTTTTTATCAAAGTTTTCGAACAGTTTGTTTGGTTGTTTTTCTTTTCTGTTGATGTTAAGCATTTTAGAACATGGCCTGGACAAGCTAGTGCTTTCTGATAGCTGAAATGTAAAAGATGAAGCAGAGCTCATACTTAGTTGTTGGAGAAATGATGAAGTACGTGGAAATAAAAGAAATAGTTTGTGTTGGAATTCTTTACTGCCTAAAGCCAGAAAAGCATTGATTTACAGTTTCGTTTGGATCAAACTTTGTGTTAACGAGTCAGAGATAACCTCAAAGGAACTTCTATTTTAAACAGCACCGGTTCTGTCTAATGCTTGCAAATAGCTGCAGACAGCTGAGGTCTTCACTGATTGCTTCAGGGCTGTATAACATGCCAAAAGAGATCAGTGCTAAGCAGTTGGAAGGACCTTTTGTTTGCTCAAATAGCCATGGTTACATGAATGCTGCTGTTAAGTACCTGGTGCATTCTGAATCAGAAAAGATAATCATATCTTTCAGGCATAAAGAGAGCAATGGGGGAAAACACAATCCATCAAAATGTATCTTGTTTTAGTGGAAATAGCATGAAGTGTTTCTGTCAATAAAGGTAGAATATTGAGATTTTGGGGAGAGGGAGGGTAAGCAGAAATGCCAGTGCTGTTTCAAAACGGAAGGTTTTGCTCAAGAATGGCTCCTGGGATAAAATAATCCCGTGATTATTTAAAAAAATAGGAGGAATAGAAACTTATTTACAGACCCACAGAAAGTGGGGCTCAGCCAAGCAATGGCTTTCTCTTCCCAGCAACTCCAAGCAGAGGTGCATTCTCCACTGTGCCTTTTGCGTGCAATACGGAGCTGCTGATGGTAACTGAGACATCTGCACCTCTCATATCCAGTGCTGTCTGTTACAAGATCGTCTCGGAGTGCAGTAATCTCTTACCACAGTCACTATGGCCAGCACTATTTACTGTCCTGTCACAGCAGAATGATTTCATTGTGCTGTTTTCTGTCTCTGCTGGGTGGTTGTAGAGAAGTTAGCAAGGCATACAACAAAAGGACAAGGGACATGAGTTACAAGGGGCATTCTGACTAGATATTAGGAAAAAAATACAGGAGAGGTAGTCCAACACCAGAACAGATTTCACACAGAAGCTGTGGAGTCTCCCTCCGTGTGGATGCTCAGAGCTCAGCCCAAGGCTCTCAGCAACCTGATCTAACTTTGTAGTTGGTTTTGTACTGAGCAAGATGTTGGACAAAGTCTCTTCCAAGTGAAATTGGGTTGTTATTTTATGTAGTGAAGTAAAACATCCTTAAAGAGTAAGGAAAGTGTTGGAACAGGGACTGGAATGGCTCAAAGCACCATGAATGAATGGGTTATTCATTTATTCATTTGATGTGTTTCAACCTTAGAGGTGTTTTCATAGAGATAATCAGCACTCCTGCAGAGGACCTGTGTGACAAGATGAGAGCACACTGTGTATTGCATAACATAAACTCCTTCATCAAGATCAGGATGTCTTTGCAATGAAGATAAGATCAGTTTGTCCCATGGCAAGTTATTTATGATGTTCTCTCCAGACCAGCATGTTATTTGTTATTGTAACTCCTAGGATATAGTGCTCTCCATCAGGTGTATTGTAGTCCCATTATATTTTACCAGTGAAGTTCTGGTTGGCAAATTTGACGCAGAGGGGGAAAAAAATCAGAAGTTCTCATAGAGTAGTTCTGTTAGCTCACAAAATCTCATAGTGAGGAGCTTTCTTCTCATCTTCCCACTGGAATATTTACAACTCCAGTGTTGAAATACAGGGTTGGGAGTTAGGGCTTGTGCTTCCATGTCAGATCTCTTCTTGTCTTCTTGTCTTTTTGTCTTTTTTCTTTTTTCTTCCCAGAACTGTTTCACTTCAGTAGTTTGGTGGACTGGCCTCATCTTTTTCTGTCCTTGAGCGAGCAGGGATACAAGTAGGAGGAAGGAGTCCAGTTTTTCTCTCTGCTGCCCATTGATCTGCAGACTAATCTCTTGTAGGGAAACAGAGCTGGAAACACTTGAATAGACAGAGTCACATTTGTGAGGCTGTACTCAGAAAGTCCAGTCTCCTGGATAACATGATGGTTTCTTTTTGGCAGTGAATTCCTCCTTTCTGAAACACGGCAAGAAGAATACTCCCAAGACGCTTGCTATCATCACAAAGGTAACGAAACATCATCTCTCTAATTAGCCATTTTCTAACTGTTTGTACCTTATACAGGTGCCTTGGAGTCTTCTTTGTACACTCCTTTGTTACCTTAGGTAACATAGTTTGTCTGTGCTTCATTATTGTTCCAAGTATGAAGAGCAAAACAGCTCGAATTGTGCCATGCTCAGTAAATCTGTAATTCCTGTTATTAGAATTCACGTGCTTTTTTCTTAATGTCTGTGTGAAACCAAGAAAACCTTATGGAATGTTCTCTTAGCTTTCGCTAATTACAGTTTATGATAAGAGTGCAGCAATATGAAAACAGCTACGCAATAATCCCTATGGCAGGCACAGCACACCTCCTGAAACTGACCTTTCTGTGGCCAAGGAGAGCAGTTCAGACCCAGCAGCTCCTTCAACCTTGTGCTCGATGCTTTCCTTTTTTTCTCTGCTAAATTCAGAGGTGACAATCAACAGTCCAGTCGGAGCCAAACGCAAGGAGGTCTATCGTGAGGCAGCCACCTGCCCTTCAGGTTTTAATCCTGAAACTGACAGCTATTTCGGTCATTATCAACCACGGCTGGACTTAAAGCAGTGATGATTTTCTCACCATGCTCTGGGGCTGTATCTTCCAGTTCCTCTGCCACGTGGGTGAGGGCTGCACGGTGTTCTGCTGCATTAATACTTCATGGCACAAGCTCACATTGTAGTAGTCAGGTTTTTTGGTTTTCATCGATGTCAGTTTAGCAGCATTCCTGCCTTATAGTAGAGCAGTCGTCTCGTGTCATCGTTTGCTTGTCAGCCTTTGCAGGGCAGTTCCTACAGAATGCAGTGTGTTTCTGGGACAGATCGAGGGAGAGAGCTGTACTGCAGCACACCAGCTTTGGTTTGGGCTGTTCTTCCATTTTAGTTTGCTACCCTTACATCCCCATCAGCATTATGGTAAAACACTTAACTCACCTCAGGAAATAAGGGAACTTTTGTAAGGCTTTCTGTAGAAGTTTTTTTTCTTGTACAATAATGAAGGATGGACAGGGCACAGAGAGTAAATACCTCAGTTTTGCAACTAAACTTGCAGATGAAGTGATTTGCTGTTGTTAGTGGTGCATTCTTCCACCCTGCAGCTGTACAAAGCTCACTCAGCTCACTTCTTATTTCAGATGAAGAGAGACTCTGGGTATTCCACCATGGCTGCACATCAGGAGCAGGTAAAGACTCAAAGTCCATCTTTTAAAGGAAGTGTTGAGCAGGTGCCTTGGAAAGCTGGATGAGCTGAATAACCTTCTGAGAGCAGCAACACACTCATCAACTCTGACCACTTCAGCACAATTAGGAGGTCATCACTCATCATTTTCCCAGCATTTTTTCCTCCCAGTGAACCACAGCTGTAGCGCTGAGTGGTGAAAAGCCTCTTATTGTTGCTTGCATGGCAAGATACCATAATATTCCACATAGCCAGAAACTGTGCCACCTGACTGTGCCCAGTGCCAAAAGTGGTGCTGCTGAACAGCCTGGTTCCCAGCTGGTGTGCCCCAGTCTCTTTACCTTGCAGGTAGGAACTCCAATTGGCACTCCAGCTATTTAGCAAATTGTACAAGGCCTTTGATCAGTGGGTCAGAGTTTGGAAACCTCTCTGGAGGTGTTGCTTGCATGAAGAGAAACAGGGTGTTAGCACTTGGACTTGATGAACAAGATTTTTTTTTAATGTGAACTTCTCTGTCCCCGCAGCTCATGTAATTATAGGGCATGGGATTCATTCATGTAATCACTTCCTTGCGTGTGGTAAAAGCACAGCCTCCAAACAAAACAGTTTCTATCAGAAAGCTTTGAAAATAGCTGAAGTGCTGAACTTTGGCTGCTCCCCGTCCTGCCTCAAAGCAGGTGGATCAGGAGTCATTCATTTTTGTGAATCTTTGAGATCTTCAGCTGGAGGACACTCAAGAATCAAATGTCATTTGGTCTAACTAAGAATTCCAACCCTCTAAGACTTGGGAGCTTTTCTTTGGTGTGTCTGTCATCGCAGGAGAAAGAAGGATTTGTAGGATAGAGTTCTGTTAAAAGACTCAAAGTATTTTATGGCTTTTTATACTTTTTTTTTCCCCTGAAGAATACCCAGATGGTGCTTCAGGCTTTAAAGATTCAGAAATCCTTATCCACTATCAGCATACATTACTGTAACATGGACAGCATGGATACAACTGGAAGCGTGTGACCTGTGAGAGCAAATGTCCAGCCCCGAACCCAGCACGTACTGTGTGGAGCTGGGACAGGTGGCTTTTGCCAGCCTTGCATTCCTGGTGGAGTCACCCACTGATAATGCTGGCAAATGATTGTATTGCTTTTAGAGTAGGCCTGTAGGGCTCACTGCCACGAAGCTGTAGGGCAGGAGTCCAGGAAATGACTTTCTCCTCAGTTGCCAGCTTGACAAAAACTGAGATGATAGGAACAAATGTTTGTTTCAGTGAGGAAAGTTTCATTGCTAACGAGCAAAGTTCTGTCCTGGGACAGATAAACATTGCTGACAAGTTCTGGGCAATGTTTAATATTCTGTAGCTGATACAGAACCCAAAAGAGCTCCTAATGCTGAGAGCTGTGTTGAGAGGGTTCCTCCGTATTGCAATACCCAAAACACACCTGCATTCAACAGCTACTCCTGAGCTGCCTCTCTTGTTTGTCCTCTCTGCTGGGAGAGGACCAGGACAACAGCTATGAATCATGCTATTTTTACTCTGGTCTGTTTTTACAGCACAACATACCAATAAAAACAGGAAGGACAGAGTTACACACAAGGCACTACCTGGTTATTACACTATATATAGTTTTGAATTGCATTTGTTTTTTAGTCATCCTGCCAATAAATATAATGCATACTCACCTGAGAAAACTCAAACTAAGATTTCTGAACTCCAGAGTCAATTCCAACTGGGGCTATGCTAGAAGACAAATCGTTAATTATGTATTTGTCGTATATTTGATAAATATTTTAAAATATTTACTCAATCTATTTCAATATATTTGTTCAACTATATTGAATACTGCTTTCTGAATATTCCTATTCCTAAAATCAAAAGGACTCTGAAAATTTCCTCATTGTTGCTTTGTGAAGTTCAAGTCCTTACTGTGCTAAAGGATCACGTTAACATCGCAGTGCTCTCCCACTGCACGCAGGGAGATTCCACCAGCAGATAACACTTCTGTGACTGAGAGCAAGGATTTAGAGAATGCTGTACTTTTAAGAAGCTGCGTGTTTTAACTCCTTGTTGTTGTGCAGTTGTTCTGTATAGATGGCACATGGTGCCTTCCAGACCAGCTGTACTCCCAGTACTAGAACTGAGTTCTATCTGTGATGGGCGAAAGGCACAGCACAAGGCAACGAAATGTCCTGTGTTAGACCTCTGTTATGGGGGAAAGGATAAGCTTCTGAGCACGAGTCTGTCTTTAGAACCAGTCTTCAAAGCTGAAAAGGGAGCTGAGACAGTAGCTCCAGATCACCTGAGCACAGCAGTTCGTCGTGACTGCAGGGGGAAAGCCCATTGCATGCTGGCAGGAAGAACAGACTGGTGGGTTGGCAGAGGTGCTGTGATGCAGCAGCATTCCTTACCCCTCTTCTTCCATTCCTAGTGTTCTGAGTTGTCCAGAAGCCCTTTGTAGCACAGTTCAGGTACTGATAAATCTATCCAATCAAAATAGGGAGAGAAAATTCCGTGGTCCTTAACAGCTTTGTTATCGTGTTCTTCAGAGTGTAAAACAATGCAGGCTGACATAAGACAACCTGTACCACATACGTTTCAAAGACAAAAGCTCTAGTATAGCACAGCAGCGTGAACTTAACTCTCATTGCTTGTGCACAGGAAGAGAAGCTCTGGGCTGCTGTGAAGATGTCTGCCCTTGTCCTTGGCTCAGCCCTGCTCATATTCACTGCCTTAATGAACTCTGTTTCTTGGTAAGATTGCTCAGACAAAAGAGGCTTGAGGAGAAGTGTTTTTGTGTAGAGGGGATAAACGGGCTGTGAACAGACGAGTGACTAAGAACATTTGTTCCCACAGGTGCGTGCAAAAGATCTGGGATACTTCAGGCTACTTTTGGCAGACAACATGGCTGAAGCTTTACTACCTGTTTGAGGGAAGGGAATGGTCACTTTTCCTCTTTGGTGAGTTCCTCAGGTTTACAACCCTTTGCTGTGCTAAGAACCATCCATGCAGTGCATCTAAACTGGAACATGGGTGTGCCATCCTCAACTCACTGAGAACACACGTAGCCTTCCATGCCAGCTACAGCTGACGGCACATCCGTGCTGCTTTGGAGTGGTTCCTCATTAGACCCATTACACAGGTTAAGAATTTGATCTTTTTGCTGCTGCTGAAAGCATAGAAATGGCTTCCTTACGTAGACATGCTCTTTGCTCCTGTGAGAAATGAATGACTCGGTAGAACTAATTTCTGAAAGTTGAAGTAAAATTAGTGAATTTCACGCTTGCTGTAGTGCGTACACAACCCTTCTCCATCTGTGATTAACTGCTGGTGAACAGGCTTAGCAGGGATGTTGCAAGGTCCCAAGGATCAACTCAAACTTATCCAACATGTATTTAAACATCAACCATGAGGTAGTTCCCCATTCTCCCAGAAAAGCCCACAGTTTTGGCAAATTTTAGCCTATGGGGCATTTATGCAGTTTAATTTCCTCACCATTCCCTAGATCTAAACTGGGTTTCAGAACCTGCTCATTCTATTTTAAAGCATCACAGTGCAGGGGACCCAGCACACGTAGCTCCTAGTGAAGTCCTCTGGATACAATTACTTTTTCTTTTTTTTAATCTGTCCACAGCTCCCAAGGTATTTAAGTATCTGTTTCTTCCTCACGTCACAGGGGCTGCATTGGTTCCTAGCCTTGCTTTTTGGTGCTTCAATGGAATCCTTATGGTGGCTGATGTAACAGGAAAGCCAACTTTCATTACTCGGTATCGCATTCAGCTGGGCAAGAATGATCCTGTAAGTATTTCTGTGTGCTGCTTCTGCTGGCTAAATACTTCTTGCAGTCTGTTAGGTCAGGAAAGGGGAGAAGAAGCCCTTATGCTTTTCTCTTCCAAGCAGATAGCTCCCTTTTCAGCTTTGAAGACTGATTCTAAAGACAGGCTCATGTGCTAAGTATTGTATATCTATTGCAGAGGAAGGCAGTTCTTGTAATTAGGCTGCTGATCAGGTCTCGATAGCCTGCTTGCTAACAAGTTGATCCTACAGCTACCTAATGAAAGCAGCCAACAAATCTCAAAGCTCTTTGTCTTCCAGCTTAAAGCCACTGTGCTTCTGATACAGCCCGGAATCCTGACTTCTTTTTTGCAGGTGGACACGCAGAAATTGCGACAAGCCATCTACACCGCGCTGTTTAATCAGTTCTTTGTCTCCCTTCCCATGCTCGTGCCCATGTTCTATGTAATGAAATGGTGGGGCAACACCTTCAGCAAGGAATTACCCACTTTCCAATGGTTTCTTGTGGAGCTGAGCATCTTTACCTTAATAGAGGAAATCCTCTTCTATTATTCACACAGGTGAGCTGAGCACAGATCAGGACTCTGGTTTGTGCCCATGCTGTTAGTCTTATACCCATCTCTTGAAACAGGAGTGGTCCTGGTTCACCCTCTTCCATCAGTCTTGTATTTAACCCATCCTTATTGCTTGAGGCTTAGCTGCTGCAATGCTGCTAGGAACTACAGGGAGCAAAAATGGGTAAAAACTACAGAAATGGCAGCTTAGGAAGAAAAAAAGAGCTATTTTATTTGAAAAGAGGAGAACGGGAGCATCCTGAAAGAAAAAAAGCTTAAGAATTCAGAGACTGATGTCTTCTTCACCTGAACAGCATCTACAAAACATAGCCTAGCTCCCAACACTACAGGCATTCTGACCATTTACTCCAGTAGTAGAAGATAAAATTGAAGCAAGGAAGGAAAAAGTCTGCAAGACCATGCAGAAGCAAGCACAGCATTCTCAGAAATACAGAGATTTCCCTTTTGGGCAATGGTAAAAGAAAACACAGGAGGCCATTTCTTACTAAGGGCCCAGGAAACTTAAAATCCTGTCTCTAATTGCTGCCAGTCGGAAAAGTCAGAATATGGAGAATATGAAGTGAGTCTTTCACTAAAATGTGCTCCCAAGTCTGAGCAAATCAGTCTTTCATAGACTTGGTTTTATGGGATGTATCAGAACTTAAGTTTAACATCAACCAGCAGACAGTGAAACCACTGGATGAGGGCTGATGCTAACGAGAGGAAACCACAGATCCTACACTGCCACTCCCAGCTCTAAGATCTGTTTTAGATGGACACAAGCAAGTCTCTGGCAGATGTTACTCTGCATTCCTTTCTTATGGGGTGCAAAACTACATTTCTTCTTTTTCTCTACTTAGGCTCGTTCATCTCCCACTCCTGTACAAGCACATCCACAAGAAGCACCACGAATGGACAGCCCCCATTGGCGTGGTCTCCATTTATGCTCACCCATTAGAACACACAGTAAGTGGATTCTCCCATGCTCACCTTCCACTTCCCTGCATGGAGTGCAGTTTCCATGGGATGAGGAGCAGCGGTAAGGGAAGCAGAGCAAATGCTTCCTTGGAATCTTCTTTCTTAGAAGAAGCTAAGCTGCATTACCAGGAAGCCTAGCTGTAGAAGTGCTGCAGTGCCTGTTTGCACTGCACCTCACCAGCTTTGAGAGCACAAATCCAAGGGCCTCAGGTAGGTAAGGAAAAGTCTGAATGGTGTTTTCTTGAGCACAGAGCTTCCACTTCTAAATACCATCTCCTGTTAATAAGAGGCCCAAACTGCTCCAGCAACTCTGAGTCTCCCTCTGACAGACTTTGGCTATAAGAATGACTTTTTGGTGCAGTAAGCTTGTGATCTGGGCACTGACAGCTATTCGTGCCACTGGGAGGACGCAATCATCACATTGCTGCACGTGTCCACACATCACGTGGACTTAGAACCTTTTTACAGCTTGCTTTCCCAAGAATCTTTTATTGCAAGTTTGGGGATCTGGGTCACTGACTGTATTCCACAGCGAGTAAACCTGAGTTGGCTCAGAGTACAATTGTATCTTTGATGATTATGTAGTTTTGGTATTTTCAGGTCTGCCCTTTATGCTGCTTGTACAAAACCAATAGACCCAGGTGAAACAGTTCAGCCCCTAAAGGACAGCCTGCTCGTTGTGGTCCCATTAACGAGGTGGTTCTACTTCTCTTTTCCAGCTCTCCAACACGCTGCCTGTCATGACTGGCCCAATGCTCATGGGGTCTCACATGGTTTCAATCACAGCGTGGTTCTCCCTTGCTCTTGTAACAACGAGCATTTCGCACTGCGGTTACCACCTGCCCTTCCTACCATCACCAGAATTCCACGACTTCCATCACCTCAAGTACGTCCCAGCTTCCCTTTCTCCTCCTTCCTGTGCCCTGTCACTGCTTGCAGACAAAGGTCCTTTCTGAGAGCCAAGTGATTTTCATCATTCACATACAAGCAGAGAAACCTATCCAGTTCACATAACAGCAGATCAGAATGCTGTCAGGTCTTAGAGCAGTTAAACAGAGTTTTGGTTTCCAAACCAAGCTGCCTTCCCGCACAACTGCCATCCACCTCACTGACATCTACCCTCCATCAGCTGACTTGGAGAGCTTATCTAAAGCACAAACACAGCAGCCGAGTCCAAGTGTTTCAAGCGTCCTAAGATGACACGGGAGGAAAGCACGGAGTGTCTGAAGTAGCAGCTATTACCTGGACATTCCCCAGCACAAACACAGACAGTTCCATGCAAGGCTATTCCTGGAAGTTCAGAAGATACTGTGTATGGTCTAGAGTCAAACCAGAGCAGTGGCGAATCACAGGGCACAATAAATCTGCAGCAGGAGTCTCCCTGAATCTTTCCCATATGCTGAGGTTAGTGATGTTGATCAGGTAATGCCTTGGCCAAACAGCCTCAGTTAACACTCCTTGGCAAAGGTTCCCAGCTCCCTTTTACACCAGAGAGAGCAAACTTTCAGTACAGCGTTCAGGGATACTTACCAAAACAGAAGAAAAACAGTTTCCATCTCCCTGCTGCGCATTAAATTCATACAAACACTTCCTCAAGCAGTTTGCTTCTGCAGAAACAGAAGATGTGGTAGTTCTGATGCAACCTAAGTGCAAAGCAACACCCGAAACGTGGGCCCAGTTCTCGTTAACAGCCATTTCATCTGCAGCTCGGCTCAGATGCTGTCTGGGCAGAACGGCTGTGCCAGCATCTGCAGTGCTGGGAGCACAGCAGCTCCACGTCTCTGGGCAGCCTGGTCTCAAGAACACGGCAAGGTGGGTGCCCAGCTGCTTCCACAGCTCTGAGCTGCTGGGCAGTGGTTCAGGCAGTTGTTCAGTGCCACCATTCCTGGATAACAATGGATCGAGGGGTTCATCAGAGCTGTGAGGCAGACAGGTACAGCAGCAGCAATCAGGTGAATGGCTTATCAGAGCTCTGAAAGGAGATGGGAACAGGGAGGGTGAGGTAACTTCAGTAACTTCCAGTGATGTTTATTCTCCGTTTGACTTCCAGGTTCAACCAGTGTTATGGAGTCCTGGGAGTGTTGGATTATCTGCATGGAACAGATGATGTGTTCAGACAAAGCAAAGCCTACGAGAGACACAGGGTCCTCCTCAGCCTCACCCCGCTCTCCAAAAGCATCCCTGATATACCCAAGAGAGCAGGGTGAACCCTCCAGGCTGCAGCTCCTGCAGAGCCCAAGGATAAGGAGAGGAAGAGACAATGATTTACACTAATATTTTACTTGTGAAACAAGCTATTATTCACATGTAATGAATCTCAAAACTGAACTTAAACACAATACTTGAGATGACTTCATGTACTGCCTGTTATTCTCCACCTAAAGCATGAAAAAACAACTCTAGAAAGGTATTTCTAAACCACTGCACTACTTCTTGGTTCCAGCTGCCTGCATGTAAGATGAATTCTAGGCTATGTGGTTTCAAGACCTGCTGAATTTTCACTGTTAAGGTTATAGCTTCTCATAGACCATGTCATGGCCTCTTCCAGCAGCATTCTCTAACAATACCAGTAAGGTCACTGTAACTACATACACAGGAATCGAGCCCACATGGCTTCAGACATCCCCTTCATGCACGTGACAGGCCCGCTTTTCCTTCAGCAGTTTTTCCACTCTGTAAGATGCAGGTCTGATTTCAGGACTGTTCATCCTCATCAACACTCCACAAACCAACCTCTGCAAATGTAGAGTTTCTCCCACAGGAAAGGTAAAGACATTTGGAGCTAAGATTATATGGGGGGAAACAAGAAGCCTCTCAGTCACTGTCCCCACAAGAAAGGAGGTCCCTTCAGCCTGAAATCCAACTGACAAGTCCTGCTACATCAGTTCCTACTTGCAAGCCTCGTGTGTCAGCTCATGGCAGCAGCTCTTCCTGCACTGTCCTCCAGATCCTCCAACCACCCTGCGCCAGCCAGCCCATCCGCAGAGCCTACAGCCCTCTGTGGAAAACACAATGGTTAGCACAACAGAAAACCCAAACCGCACTGTCTTTTGAAGTTTTTATTTTTATACATTTTTTTTTTGTATTAAAAAGGAAAAAGCATAATTACCACAAATTACAAAGGACTAAAGCATTACTAGAATAATGAATCACATCAGCCTAGAAAGCAGATACTCTGAATAATATTAATGTTATAATACAAGCTCTCATTCAAGTATTTTACATTTGTCTCTTTTCCTTTTATATGCGATGATGATCCTAGCACATGGGTCAAAGATTATGTACTATCGACAGAAGATGGATCATGTACAGCGGGCCATATTAACAAGATTTTCCTCCCAACTGATAAATGGTCTGTGATGAGTCATTTTAAGTTTGTCTCTACGATAAATGCGGCTGAAGAAGGTTGCACACACTTTCTAGTCTGGGGAACAGAAGGCTGAGGTTGGGATATAGCCAGTCTGAGAAGGGCCAGCACATCGAACCATCGCCCTGTTGTCCCAGCCACCGAGGCTGAGGTCTTACCCACGTGACCTGAGCGAGTCGGAGCAGGCAGGCAGAGCCTCCCCTGGGTACAACTCAGCGATGGTTTGTGAGATCCAAGGATTTCCAACCCCAGCAGGAGCGGATCAGGCTGGGAGAGGAAGGGGGGAGCAGGGCGGGCTGCCTTCCCTACGGGCATACATCTGCACCAGGGAGGCTCGGGGACCAAGTGCTGCAAGCACCCTTCCCATGACAGCTGTCACCGTCCCCAGCCCACCCACAGGACTGCCACTGGGAGATGGGGACAGGAGGGCAGCAAAGGCCTTGGGTGACCCAGAGTGCTGCAAAGGGGCGGTGGTACCTGGGTCTGTCCATGCTCTTCTGGAGCTCCCCACTGAGGGGATGTGCTTGTCACAGATACGTCGGTCCTATGTTCAAGTGTCTGCAGAAAGTGAAGCTGTAAACTACTCATTGAAATGCTGCCCTCCAGGCACCCACTCTGTGCCACTGAGATGAAAATTTGCTGTTTAAAAAAGTCATTCTACCTGTATTGGAAACTTTAAAAAAAAAAAAAAAAAAAAGAAAAGAGTCAGTGAGGCATTTAACATCAAGTGTAGCAACCCTCTCTAAAAGAGCCAAGCATCCATTTCTAAACAGTGACAGTGACATAACCAGTCTCAGAGGAAACAGGAGAAAATAAGCATTGCAAACACAGCTTGCTACATTTACAGTTTTCTTTTTTTCTTTTTTTTTTTTTCTCTTTTTTCTTTTTTTTTTCCTTTTCCTTTTGATAAAATAACTGGAAAGGCATTAACAGCTAAAGGCCCCCTCTGCACCACCACGCTGAATGTGTGGACACGTGGCAGCATGCTGAGGTTCACAAATCATCGTTACAGTACAGTCACCAGTCTGAAGCAATGTGAGCAGTTGCCAAACCTCGAGGGAACCCATGGGCTACAGCAAAAAGCTGCTGATGGGGGGGTGCAGCAGGGAGAGGGACAGACAGGCAAATGGAGCAGCAGTACTATTATTATTATTATTATCATCATCTTTTTTTCCTTTCCCCCCCCTCCCCCCCAAATGAACATATTAAGCAACAAAGTCTCCTCTGAAACACACTGTCCAGCTCTACTGCTGACCCCTGCCAGAGGTCTGGAGCTGCTGCGAGTGCCTGCAGCCATGCAGGGGTCAGCAAGTGGCATTGCAGTCACAGGAATAAGAGCACCTGATTGCTCAGATGGTTATAACAATTTAAAAAAATCATTGTATATGATCGTGATGAAGCATCCAAACTAAAAGCAAGGCCAAACTCCTTCCTCAGCAGGAGGACAAGAGGAACCCAAGCAAAACCACACTCTGGACAGCTGTCCTATTTCCCTGGGGCGGAGCGAGCCACGAGCGACGCCTGACGCACAGTGCCTGATGCACAGTGCCTGATGCACATGGCTGCACAGCACCAGCAGGGTGTGCACGCAAGAGGGGGAGCACTGCAGCCCCGTCTCCATGCCTGCTGTAGGACACGAGACAGCCATGCAGAGCTCAGCCCTCGAGCAGTTCCGCTGTACCTGCGGATGTCATCACCTGCCCTGCAGCACAGAGCAGCTGCCTCCTGCCCCAGCAGCAGGCACCAGCTGAGCAGGCTGTTTGTTTCCACCTTCCCTTCACTCTCTGGAGATGCTGCTGTCCCATGGAGATGCTACAGGGCACACAGCAGCACACAGCAACAGCTGGGATCTCTCCTCTGACCTCCTGCAAAAGCCACCCTCAGCCACACCAATGCAACCAAGCACTGACTCAGAGGGGAAAACTCTTCCGTGCCAAGACCAGACAGAGCCTCAGCCTCAGAAATTAGAGGGATAATTTCAGATCAGTTCAAGTTCTGGAAAATTCTATGGGACATTCTTTGCCTCTTCTATCACCCAAACAATTCCACAGTCTGTTCCACAAGGAACATCTCCACAGCAGGAGTTTGTTTCTCCTAGTTTCCTGTTTTGTTTGTTGCTCAAAAGCAGCTCATTGGCATCCAAAGAACACGCACCAATGAGAGGAACACAGGGAACGCAGCAAGGACCACTTGCAGCACGTTCAAACCTGCTGCCACTTGCACGCAACCATCAAAACTTCTCTAACAGCCTTGGTCAACCCCAAGTCCAGGCTCCAAGGCTTTTCCTTCCCAAAGCAGGGCCAAGCCCTGTCACATGCACTGTATCAGGAGATCCGACTCAGCTCACAGGAGAAGAGAAATGCAGACATAACAGCTGAGGCTGCAGTTACACCAAAGCTAATTGCCAGCCCAGCCTGCGTATGCTGGGAAACCCAGAGCAAGTTGAGGACCTGGACATAACATCCCAAACCCAGCCTCCAAGCGGTACCAAGCTGCAGAACGTTGTGATAGCAGCAGACAGACCAGAACAAGATCACACCATGAGGAAACAGTGAAGCAGCACCTGCCCAATTTCACTCAACCCTCAGCTATGCTCTCAATCCCAAGTTCACAAAGCTGCCCTGTAGACCAGTACCTCTCCCTCACCTATAAAGCAAGACTTTGATGCAGTGTCAGTTCAGGAAGGCAACATCAGCCAGGATTCAGTAAGCAGCTGCAGCCACTCCAACCTCCAGCCCCTTGCCCATCTCAGCACCTTGAGTTCTGCTCAGCACCTGGTTACTCCCACCTGCAAGCCTCACAGCCAAACAGACACAGCCTAAGGACACGGCTCCCTCCTGCAGCTACAAGACAGTGCTGTACTGACTTCGAAATACTTTAGGGAAATGTTCGTTACCAGCTTTTGATTTTGCAGAGGACAATGCAATCAGCTGCATCTTTCCACAGCCCACCAAGCGCCCGCTCCGCACCATGCAAACACAGCATGCTCACAGCACATGAGGACAGCGTGCCAGAGTTTCAACCAAGCCAGCTGCAAAGCACAGGTCCTGACCCAGGGCACAGAGCAGAGCAGCAGGGCAAGCAGCTCTCACTGAAGAGGTGCTCTGAGCCGGGGGCACAAATCTCACTCCTGGACCATGCCCCCCCACACAGCCAAGTGTTTGTGAGGGATGCAACCAATATGGACCTGGGGAGGATTTGCTGGCCACAGCCCAGCCGGTGCTGCACAGCACAGCCCCCAGGACATTGTCACAGCCCCCAGTGCAGCTACCCAGGCAACAGCCCTCCTCCAATGGGCAACTGCCTATTGGGACATAGAGCAAGATTCACTGGCCGGCAGCAGGAGTTGTGTATCAGACAACAGCATCGGGTTGCATGAGGCCTTGCCTGCCCTCCCAGCACCAAAGTCCCTCCAGCTGCCTCGACAGACGCTGCCCGCCTCCCAGGCACAACCCAGGCTGCCCAGAAAAGGCCGAGCGATGTCACAAGCTCACAGTCACCGTTGCAGGGAGGATGCTACAGTAGTATGTACACAACATAGGACTTCAACTACTTGGTGAGCACAAGTCTGGAGTATGACTGCCATCGGTGCCTTCCCTGCAGGAGCGTCCCAGGGAGCTGTGGGTTGGAGGAGGCTGCAGGGCAGGTGGGCTCGGCAGCAGTGCCGGGAGGAGTCTGTGGGTGTGGGCCAAACGCCCAGCACGCCCTGGGGCACCAGAGGCCAGTGAGCCTCCCCATTCCAGCTCCACCATAAGGCAACTTTTTTTTTTTTTTTTTTTTTTTTTTTTTGTATTTTTGTGGTTTTTTTTTTTTTTTTTTTCTTCTTCAATTAATATATCCAAGGAAGAAAGCAAAGGAAGATGTCTTTCTAGAGTTTTTGTTGTTGTTGTTGTTTCAGGGGTATTGTGTTTTTTCGTTGTTGTTTGTTTCATTTTTCCAAGGGAAAAGAAGAGGAAGGCTCCTTCAGCAAAGTCCTGTCTTTGCATGCAGTGGGCCCTGGGCAGGCGGCTGCGGCATCCACGCAGATTTCAAGTCCAGGTGCCTGCCAGCCTCCCAGTTGCCATTCTTGCAGGAAGGAGTCACAACAAACCTATCCTTGGCAAAGGTCCTTTGGTTGATTTCCAAATTGTCCGTGATGGAAGGGAGAAGAAGTGGGCAGAGGGAGAGCCAGACCTGCGAGAAGGTTGGAGATGAAGACGCTGGGGAGGACGGACTGGGAAGACCAACAGG